CCTTATGATTGCTCGGCGGCGGCGAGGAGCGATTCCGAAGGAGATAACAATCTGAGAACCTGCGATGCCCTCCCCCTTCCTATCTCGAGACATCACGCCCTTGGCGGAAAATAAGGAAGACATGGCAAGATGTTTCACGCAAAGTAGATATACTCCTATTAACCTCTCGTTGTGACCGCACACGCACCGTGACGTATGCGACATCGGCTATGCAACCAACTGCCGGATGATTTCTTTACTCAGCTCAGCTCTCTCATGGCTTCGTCTACGCATGGCACACATACATGGCATATACCGTCGATGGCAGGCCAGCATTGGACTGTGTCACTGGCCCGAATGCCGTATCACCCCGACTGCACTATGCAGGAGTCAGTTTCGCAGCAGCCATGTCTCGTCAGCTGAGAGTCTCGGCTCGCTGGTGTGGCAGGTTACCACTCCGCCATGAGGTGCGGATCACATTCCGTCTCATCTGGCCCTCCCGATGTTCAGCCTTGCGGAAAGTGCGCAGCGTCTCGCCGTGCTGGGGGTGTTTTCCGGAGCGAGCTTGGTGGCCCAACCTGGAACCCCTGTCGTCCTATTTCCAGACATATTTGTAGCCAGAGGGGAGGGTTGCTGTCTCGTTTGTTTCATGCTCGCTTTGGCCGTTGCGGCCCGGAACCGTGGCGTCGGAGCTAGGTAGGGAGTGAATGGGGAGGGACGGGGGGTTAGACGTGGGGGCGGGGCTATTGTCAATAATGCGAGCAGGCTCAATCTTGGGATTTTGCGGGCGAGGCCGGGATCACGGCCTGCATCTGCAGTGACAAGTTCCTCCGCTTGCCGCAGTTGTACGTAAGAGATACGGCATTTTCCAGGTTACGGGGAGGTCGCACAGGCCTGGCGAGATTGACAGACGCGCGCATCAGGAACACATCCGAAGTACGAAGTGCTTGACAGCTTATGAAATCCATCGACCGGAGACCAGGCAACTGGGTAACTGTTCAAGTAAATAAGAAAGCTGGCTCGAATCCTTCGTCAGCGTCGGAAACTCGATGACAGAACTAGTGGGGTACCCCCTGTACATAAGGGTTTGGGCAGCGATTCGGATCCTGCACCCTCTCTTTTTTGACTTGTCACCTCGCTGCGGCATGGCTGCGGCACAAGAAATGATGGGGGGGGGGGCATTATCTTGGGCCGCGGTTTGCGATGAGGTCACAGGCTTGGTTTCCCTATTGGGCCAGATTAGGCCTGCTTCAGCGTCGTAATTGGTTGTGTGGCATTTGAGCTTGTCGAGTACAGGGGGGCGGGAGGTCGAAAGAGAAGCCAATGCAGGTGAGAAAGGTGTGCGATGCACTTGGGCCAACATGTGTGACGGTGCGTTGTTCTCGCTCGAGCTTTCGACGCGGCGACGGAAGAGGAAGGGTGGTGATGGTGTCGTCTCGTTGATCGTTTCCTTTGTGTGGACCGAAGCAGAGAGCCCCCTCACAAATAAAGGGAACGGAAAGGGGAACAATCGGCAGCCGTTGGGAGAATGCCGTCACTGACCAAGTTAGTGGCCGCCATCGTTTCGAGTTGCGGGCCGACGAACAAACAGGCTATTATCTAGGCGGCTGGCAGGCTTTGGACATCGTGGCAGCGACGAGTATGTCACTTTTTGCCAAACCACGGAAAGATGGGCGGCGACAAGGACAGGCCGTCTTGAGATCATGAGTTTGGGTTACACTGGCCTGGGCGCTGCCTTGTGGCTGCGTCCTATCCAGCCTGTGCCAGCCCATCAATCGATTGCCGGAAGGGAGTGAGCAATGCGGCTTTCTGGCGGTGAAGCCGTGGTCGCGAGACCACTTTCTTGGAGCCAGGCTGTCGGAACAGCCCCGGTATCCCAACAGCCTCGTGGCTGGCTGGCTCTGTCCAGATGCCTGATCCCTGATACAAGGGAACGACGGAAGTCAGGGCCAGGATTGGCCGAGCCACAACCGTCAATCGAGATCCATCCCAGAGAACAGCAGAAGTCGCCATCCCGAAATTCTTCGTCTTGCGAAACGACTTGGCCTGAGAAAGAATAATGAAGCCAAACAATAAATTCACAGAGACACGCGCCGCCCACCCACCCACCGTGTGGATATTTCTTGGGACGGCTCGGAAGGGTAGCCGACTAGTTAAAGACGGGCCGCCGCAACCTTTGTCAGCCATGATAATAGCCGGCATCCATATACTTGGCGGCTTTCGGCAGCACTTTTGGCGACTTCCTAGGTTGTTGTTTTTCAACGACTTTTCTGATGGTTGCTTCTCGGTGAGTTGGTGGTATGGTTAGGTTGCCGTCAAACATACCCTCGGACAGAGTTCGGTGAGTGGGGGTAATCTGCCGTTAAAAGTCAACGGTTCCATGGATGCAACTGACTCGCCCGGAAGTGTGTTTTTCCACTGGCCTCTGGAACTACAGCAAAATCGCGGTTGTTTCGCAAAGGAAACCCACCGGTCACAACTTCACTGCGTTCTCCCAGATCGTGTACTTTGTCGGTGGCTTCCATCGATCACTGGACCACGGAAGCGGGGGTCGTGTGTCGTGCAGCGTCCGCCCGTCTGTCAGTCATCAAGTCGGTTGGTTAACGTTACAGATGCCCGAGCAGCAACCAAGGTTCCGCGAATTGAATGGTATTTTTGGGTTCCAGGCGCCTTCCTCGAGTCTGTGCAGCCCTGCCCAACCAGCAAATTGCGGGAAAGAAGTGTCGTAGCGGGCCCGCTTTTGTGCAGCAAGCAGTCTGGGCGAGCCTCTTCGATTTGGCGAAGCCGACGCCCCCCGGCGGATCCCACCCGCTCAGTGTCGGGGGCCCATGTCACCCACATGCCGCGCACCTGCCGCAGCTGGGCGCGCAACGCGGACCTGTGCGGACTTCAACCGCCGCTTTCGTCGTCACCGCCATTCTGGACCCGGGACCCCCGCAAAAGCTGCAACGCAACAGCCAAAGGAGCCAAAGGGCGACACTGGCTCGCCTGCTAAACCCGCCAAACGTTTAAACAATTGATGAATGCTCCTCGGCGCATTGATAGATTTGAAGCTGACAGACGCCAGAGCCGCGCAAAGCGTCATCACCCTTCCCTCTTTCCTCCTCCCTCACTCCACTCCACCGCCGACTTGCACGATTGCACTTTCCACTTACTCCACTCGAGTCCCCTTCTCAGTGGAGGTTCCTTCCTTGTGATCCCTTACCTCTCCTGCTCCTCTCGGCCCTTCCAGGTTGCTCCCCTCGCTGCTTCTCGCCGCTCCCTCCTGCTATCCTGGGAATTCCCCGCGACGATTCTCGCGGCCAAGCCCCTCATCGCGTGCCGCTTTTCTCCACCAGACTGCTAAAACCCACTCGTCATTGTGGGTTGCCGTGGGTGCCGCTGGTCGTGCTCCGAACCGCTCGGGAAGAGAGAACCTAGCGACGGAAGAAGGGCGACCTGCTTCTTACCGTGTTATATCTATCCACTCCCAACCCGCCCCGGTCCTCGGCCGAACCGCTGTCGCTCCGGACAACGCAGGCCTTCGCCTTTTGGCCCTGTCTGGTTTGTTCTGCTGGTTTGGCATTGTGTGGTGCTTGAGACAGCACGACCTAGCTTTGGAATACCCTTGTTGGGAGCAGATCTCGTCGAATGAGCCGTTCTCACAGTGGCCGTTGATCTCTTGGCTGCCCCTGTTAGCCGTTCTCACCTTGGCCGGTTCAACTAGTGTCGAGAACTCAAGAGAGAAGAAAAAGAGGGCTGAGACGCACATCACTTCGTCGACGGCGGAACTGGGGCCCTCACGCGACCTCTTTCACCCCACGACGACGACTTTTCATCCTTTCATCCCACCAGGTCATGCCATTTGACGCCCCGCTCGATATTGCCCACCTTCCACATTTCCAGCCTCACTCGTCTCGCAACAACCCTCTTCGCATGGCGCCTATGCCATCCCCACCGGCGACCATGATTCTCCGACGCCTCGCTGTCGTCTGAACTGCTGAAACGGACCGTTGCCCAACTCCTGGAAACTTCCGCTCCTCACTTTCACGCGGCTTCGCCAAGTACTTGGAATGCTTGGGAAGCTGTTCAACCTCGGCACTGGCTCCGGGACTGGGGCCCAGCCCTCACCCCAGCCCTCGTCACAGAGGCCATTCCCGCTTGAGTCGGTTCAAGAAGATATTCACACGCGACATCTGCTCTTCCCGGATCCCCAGGATCTGTATGAGCACCGCGTCAGCCAGTTGTATCCTCTATCGAGTGGTGCCACGACCCCGACCGGATCGACGACGAACGCCTACGACTACAATGCCGACATCGAGCTTGACGTGCGCGATGTCCGTCTCATCATCATGCAGGACGCCTTGAGCTCCGTCGCAGCCTCTCTCCTGTATGACAGCCAACCCGCCCCGCCTGTTGCCCCCGCCTCGTTAGACCGCGGTTCGGCGACCGCCGGTTCTTATTCTGTCCAAGAGCCGCGCCGGACTCCTGCTTCCCCCTCGGAAACCCAGCGTCAGCTATTCGCAGCGTCCCATCATAATCCAACCCGGCAGCCCCAAGATTCGGCAGGGCGCCTTCGACAGGAGGCCTTCGGTCCACAGCCGTAACCAGGCCTTTGTGGAAAGCGAATCCCAGCGCGCATGGCGCGAATACCGCGAGGAGCTGGCTACGTTTTCCAGCTGCATCTTTGGCAATTCAGAGCTCATGGCATACAAGGGAACGTCGACCAAAGTCCATGTTGTGCCCTCGGATGTTCGCCCGAGCGAATCGGGTCCCATGTTTGGGGACGGCCGCGGCTCGTTGGGGAGATCTACTATGCGGGCGAGCCGGCTTTCACAATCCTTCTCTTCTGAAAATCCCCCGCCGTTTCCCGCACCTCCCGCGCCCGGAGGACCAAGCCGGAACCAGGACAGGAAGAAAGTCCTCATAACGAGATTGTTCCCTGTCAATCTTCCCATCGAAGAAGACGTGCCATCGTTCCAAGGCGGCTTTTCCGAGGAAGCATCAGGCTATCCTTTCCCGCAGAGTGGCGAAGACATGAAAGCTAAGAAAAAGCGGTTTCAGCCGAGGCAGAAAAGGACGCCCATGTACGCGGTAGCCCTCATCATTACTCTGCCTCCATCTTCGCATTCCGTCCCGGCAACATTACGCTCCGGTTTCAAAGGGCCCAGCTCCTATGCCGAACAAGACTCCTTTCCGTCGTCTTTTAGCTCCACCCGGCGCTCCGGTTGGACACTGGTCGGCCAGGGAGGATTTGGCGGATCTGAGTCCCTAGAGTCGAGCTATGGCAACGACATGGAGGATCAGATCGATGCTATTACCCAACACTGGGATATCATTATGCGGACTTTGAGTCATCTACAAACCGTGGTTGCCAACACCTTGTTTACCATGCTCAGGCAAATTGATCTAGCGTCTCCTGATCCGCTTCCTGCCCTGTCTCTCCAGCTGGCCAGGGCCGCCTCGGCACCTGGTCGGCGCAGCGAGGATGGACAACCAGTCAAGATGCCTAAGACAAACGCGAAACACATTACGCTGCTTCCCAACTGTCTACTCGACAACCGGAAGATTAGCATTGAGATTGATGCCGCGAAGACCCGGATCGTTGCCGGCATTCGTGCCTCGCGGGTGACAACTGGCCAGAACCGGTGGCCGATCTGGCGTGAGGAGGCTCGCTGGATGGCGAAGTGGGCTGGCGGAAAGGAGCAAGGTTTCTTCTTCTTCAATCTGCTTACAGGCTTCCTCGCAACCCACACTGACTGGCTCCAAGCACTGAGCCCGCCAGCATACCGTCGGCGTCATCTCCTTCAGCAGCATAAAGGCCGGTCAGAAGAAGACACTCTCGTACCGTCCCGAACGGTGATCTTGAGCGACGATAAGATCGCCGCGCGGCGGTTGGTCTTTCTGCTGTCAGCGTTCCTGCCAGCATCCCAGCAGCTACCCGGAATCAAAGCACATAGACCGAGCACCCCGGCATCCTTTGGCGCCCTTTCCCAGTCGCCTCCATCTTTTGTTGTCCCCATCCTCAAGGAGGAGTCGCTACGCAGGAAAATAAACCGCCGGACAGGCACGCGCATGCCGTCACATTCTCGCAATTTGAGCTTGCAGACGCACAACGTCCGCCCAGGAGCCGTCCCCCCTCCCCTAGCGCACCTAAGCATGGAAGGCAGGCATGAAAGGCGAGCTTCCGATGCTGCTTCGATTCGGACCACCCATTTGCCGATTCGCGGGAGCGACCTACATACGAGAAAGAGCAGCGCCGCCACCACTGCGACCATCCTGCCCGAAACTAGTATCCCGCACTTCTCTACCGCTCATCGAGCCGAGCTCTTCGCCCAGGGTCGCCCCAGCAGCAGCAACAGCATCGCTGCAGATGATTTGAAGCGGCTCACCAGAGATGACAGCCCAGGGTCTCAGGGCTCGACAGCCGGTGAACGCAGGCAGAGTTCAAGGTGGAGTGTTATCAGCACCCTCTGGAGTGCCAGGAGGAGAGATTCGACGAGCAGGTCCCCCGTGCCCAGCGACGGGCAAAACGGAACCTCTACGTCGCCAGACAAGCCACGGAAGGCTTTGATCGCAGCATCCCCTAACACGGCGCCACCGGAACTAGGGGTGGTAGGCCCCACAGGCAGCCCAGTTGGTGATGCCCGCGACGACGAGACTGTTGGGCCCAGAGATCCCACACCACCACCGCGTCCGTCCCCCGACGCCCCGGCCCCCTGCGGGCCAGCAGCAGTGGCGCAAAAAGTGCAGAGGACCCCGGACCCGTCCAGTGCTTATGAGTCCCCAGTGAAGACGTCGATTAATATCGATGACGGAGTCATTGACGTTGATGTCCCGTTGCCAGACTTTATTACCTCGTTCGAGAGCGCTGTAAGCTCGCCGTCAAGCAGTGGCTATCTCTCCGCCTCTGGGTTCGGTACGGGTCTCGACGCTTTCGAGCAATCTTTCCGCTTTGCTGCCGACGGAGATGTCCCGCTCAACGTTGCCGGCTGGCTGCAACACTACCACCCAGACTTCGTGCTCCAGGCTCTCCCAGCGGCTAAGCACGACATCTTCGAAGAAATCAAGGAATCGATGCGCGCCGAGCCAACTCCTCCACGCCCGTTGTCGTCATCTTCGCCCGAGGACATCCCTACTGAAAAATGGATCGATGTCACATCGACCATCGTCGCCGACACAACCACGTTCACCATCACACGCATACGTTACCGGCGCCTAATCAGGCTGAGCCCGCACACGCAGCATACGCAGCAGCAGTCGAACAACGCTGCAACGGTACCGACCCCACTCACGACCTCAACTACGGCGTCGTCGAATCCGCCGCCGTCGGTATTTGACGTCCAGCTCAAAGAAGAATTCATTGTAGAGCCCATCGTAGCCTTTGACGATGTGCTTATTGAGGCTGTGGAGCGCGTTGTTGCGTCTGCGGGAACAAGCACCGAGACGACTGTGAGCAAAGTTAGCTCGACAAGCTCGTCTAGGTCGACCAGCAAGCGACGGGAGAGGGAGCGAGAGACGGGGAGGAGAGATAGTGTTTCGGCTAGCTCAGTGACAGTGTCCGTGTCCGCGGATTCAAGGTGTGCCGGTCCTTCGTCGACGACACAAGGGCTTCTGCCGGTTTTGGGGACCGGGGGTTCGACCACCCCGCAGGAGGTGCCGCGGTCGCAGTGCAAGACTGTGTTGCTGGGGGCGTTGGAGGATATTATTCAGGACGTTATTGGAGAGAGAGAGCAGGAGTTGGAAGCGGGCGTTGGGAATAGGGAGAGGGAAAGCCCCCTGCGCGAGGCGGTCAGGGGCTGGATAGAGAACGTGGAGTCCGGGGCTGGTGGCGATTGAGTATCACCTGTTACTGTTACTATTTGATACCCTTTACTTTACCTTTCGTTTTATGTTTACATGGTTGGGCGGATTATCCTGGGGTGTTGGTTATCGCATGGTAGAGGCCGGTTGGTTGGGCATCTTTGGCTGGTGCATTGCGTTGTGTGTTCGAGGGCTGGCTGTTGGTTACGGGTATTGCATTTCGAAGTCGGATGATGAAGCAAGCCGTTTGCCTAGATATTCCTCTTCTATCTATTGTGCGGTTGAGCCCACCGTTGGAATGTGATATGCATCTTCGCCATGCGACATCCTCACCAACACAAGCCACATCACCGTTTCCCAAGACCTGTTTGTTCACCCCCTTGTGATGGAACCTGCGTGTACCGTTTTCGGCGGAAGCCCGGCGGGGCGCTTCGCGGCGCATCGCCAAATGGCAAAGACGGCCTTGGTTTGCAAAAGACTGGAACTCGGTTCCGGTTTCCAGGTTGGTTACGAAGGAGTTGTTTAAGCCGAGCCAATGTCGTCGTCTGCGATGACGGCCTTCTCTCTTTTTTGACCCCGAGCCCGAACACCAAACCTCAAGCCCCTTGCTCGTCTGGTCGCCTCCTTGCTCGGCTGTCACAACGGCATGTGTGTAATTCGGTACTTGGTCGCAACGGCAGGGCCTGGGTTTCCTACGGTAGCATCCATTGATGTCGGTTCCTGACTTGCGGTAATTGTTTAATTTACGGCAGTGACGCTGGGTTTCCTTCGCCCCCGCTCTTTTTGCTCGTCTCTGGCATACTTTGGTTGGGGCTGGAGTTGGAAAGGTGACGGTTGAGGTCGTGGTGGTCCTGCTAGTGTACTTCGTAGAAGGGGGTGATTGGGTTGGGGTTGTGTGGTACTATCAATGCGACGGCGTTTGTTATCGAGGTAAGCTACTTGGGGTATGGGGTTTGATGATGGGCGAAGACGACGCTGCAATGCGCCGGGATCATACACGAGTTCGCTAACGGATACCTTCCCCGCAAAAAGATCATGCACTCATTTCATGATGTTTTTTGCCTTTGACCGTTTCCGTGCCTAGCCTGATTTTGCTCGTCAAGCCATCATCACACCTTGGAAAACTAAACCCATTCGCACCAAGGCGAAGAAGCAGGTGCCCCCCGTCCCACACCCGCAGTTCATCACCCGCCACATCTACACAGCATGCACCCTTCTTTCCCGGGCCCGGGCCCCCAGCCACCAGGACGACACCCTGGACCGGGCCACAGACCCCAAAACGGTATATCTCGGGGGCCCTTCAACGACGGGGGGGGGGGGGGGGTTGAAGAATACGCCCGTTTCTGCGCCCAGCTTACTAGCCCGCCAGCCAGCGACCATCCGATCGTTCCACGAAAGTTCGACACAGGAGGGCATCCACCCCGAAGGGCCCCCATCTCCTTGTGAAAGCGAGTGGAGTGCGGGCTCGCCGGGCCCCAAGTGCAGGAAGGCCAGCCAGCCTTGTCCAGATCGGTCGCCAGCTGCATGGGCCGACCTCGTTGATCAGTGAGCGATTCGGTGGTTGAGAAGCCACTGACAACGGGCGGAAAGAAGAATGTGGGTCGCACGAACCGCCCGCTGACTGGCTGGGAACGGCTAAAAAAGCGGTTAAATTGTGATTTTGTGGTTGTGGTGGATTTGAGAAGACTGCGTAACTTCAGCGGGCGAGTGACTGGAGGGGGGGGGGGCGCGAGCAGAGCAAGTCCCGGCGCTAACTCTTTAGCTTGGGTGTGAGGTGGTGGTTGATGCCAATTGATGCTGCCGTTTTCTTGTGGGCAATTGTAATTGTGGATTACACAGTATGCAGTCTGGCGAGCGCTCAGACACCGAAGGATTTCCATCTTGTCAGAGGAGGCGAACGAAGTGTGTGTGTACATGTATGTACATAGACGTACATACTTCAGAGCTGTGGAGTGGTCCGCAAGAAACAGGGTTTGCGGATCTTGAGTTTGACGCCACGATGTCGAGAGAGGGAAAGAAACCCCGACTGACTGAAGAGAAGTTGTGGCAGGGGAGACAAATGGAAACCAAGCCAACAACAACCTGGGATCCGTTTGCGATAACTGTTGGCCGGTTAACTCGGTCGTTGGGTTCGACCTCCTAAGACCTACACTATGGCGGTTTCTAGTGCGACAGTTTCAACGGCATTGTAGAATATGAGGCATGCGAAGGATGGAAGAGGAAGATAAGCAACAGGTGATGCGTTTTTACTGTTAACATTAAATGGCAAATCTTGTTTGGGTCAGCCAAAAAATGGTTGGAGGTGGGTGGTACCGTAAACGGTGAATGAAGACTTGGCAACTCCCTCGACGGGACAGGACGGGACCTGGGGGCCTGGAAGTTCAATTCGGATCAAAGAGAAACCGTATTCCGCCTTGAGGCGTGATTCCCGTCCTCCACGTGCCTGACCGCCGAGGCATCCATGGCCTGCCTCATGTGCTTGTGGATGCGGTTCGTCGTGCCGATTTCGGCTCCGCTACAGTTCCTTCCCGGGGCTTCAACTTCTCCTTTCATCGAAGCTGCAGCTGCCCGCGGAAAGCCTTTACCTGAATGGGACAGGGTCGGTTTTTGGAGGATTGAGGTGCCAACTTTATTATTTGGAGTACGTACGAGTTCATCGGACACTACTGGAACCAGGCCCCGAAATTCCGGGCTTGGGGAAGCGAAGTCCGAGAAGAGGATTCAAATGGTTGTCAGTGGTGTTCCTCGTGACAACTTGACATCAACTGCGGTGATATCGGAGGCCGCTTTTGGCGTTGAGTTGACCAGGAACCAGGCCACCTCAACCTGTGAGGGAATCAAAGCAACTGGAGCACCAGTAAACAATAACTATCCAGTTGGACAAATCTCGGCAAGACAAAAACAAAAACGATGACCCAGCCTCAGAAACACCTCAAGTGTGTGTTGGTCGACTCGTTATGACGCAAAGACGCAAACAATTATTAATTGCAACCAACCTTGAAACCAGCTGTCCCCCGTTGGGTGTCAGTTCCATGTTGGCGGCGTTCTCCCAGTGTGGCAGCGTCGGATTGTTGGATGGGAGTGTGTGGCCGCTTGTTTCACAGCCAGACAACCAGCGCAGGGGAAGAACAAACAACAGGCCTTCCAGAGCTCTTCCCCGCTTCTCCGCGCGCTTGGCTTGCCGCGCCCCTGCATGCGCCGCCTTGCAGGATCCCCTTGGGCCCCACTTGCCTGGCTTAGTTTCCATTCTTGCCCATTCTTTCGAGCTCAGACCGAAAGGATTGGACGACACGGAAGGAACACCCGCGGACAGCTCAGAGCCCATGGCCCATAGCCCATAGCCCATAGCCCATAGGTAGCTCATAGCCCAAAGCGCATTGCCCATAGTTAGCCCAATTGTGCATGCAATGCAGTGCAGCATGCGCCTTCCATCTGACCTTAGGTTGGTAGGGAGCCACCGAGCCTCCTCGCATGCGCCTTCTAGCGGGTCTCATCCAGTCAATTCCCCCAACCCGGTTCCTGCCCCGACGGCGTTTCGTCGTCAATCAACCCTCCCCCACTGCTTCCTCGCTCTCCCAAGGATTCATCGCTTCGAGGCCGCCAGGACCCCAACGGGTTAGATCCCGCCTCGACCGGGCCGGATAGATTAAGGCCCCAGCAGCCTAACGGCGATGGACGATTCCCACTGGCTGTCGGTGGTCTCCAAGACCTCCACCCGTTCCCCAATGGAAAGCTGCGCCGCGTGCTGCCTCCGTCCGATCTCATCCATGCGGAACCAGGCACAGGTGCTCCCGTTCCCTAATTGATGACTGTTGCAAGGGGTAGCCTCTCCGATGTTGATTTTCCATCAACCGTTGGCCACCGAACAATCCACCAACGCGGGGGGGCCGGGACAATGGCAACAATGCGGGTTGGAACCGGCTGTAATAGCTTGCTTTCATTTGGCGCAATGAACAATGCGATGCCCCCCTGTCCAGGGGGGGGCACCTTTGAGCTGTGCGGGCCGGGACAAGCGCCTATTGTGCCGTTTGTCAACCTCACACAGGGCCATGTGGCACGATCGACACTCCTTCAGGCGCTTATTAGAAGGGTGTTGTCCGCCTCATCTGAGAACATCCCGAAAACCCAGAAACCTACCGATAGCCCCGGACATTCTTTCGACAACATAGAAAACTAAAATAACATAACTTGACCACCAACGCGAGCTGCAACACACAGACAGCAAAAAAAAAAAAAAAAAAAATACCCGCATCGACCGATATCTTGGTCCCGAAAGCGCCGCACCAACTAGCGCCAAACTAAACCTTTCTAAAAGACGCCATGCGGACTTCTCACGGCGTTGCCGTTGCCCTCGGGGCCGGCTTTCAGCTCGCTACCGCCGCCCCGGTCTGCGGCGGCGGCAGCACATCCGACACCCTCTGGGTCACGACCTACCCCATCGGTGACGGTGCCGGCGAGCTCTTGACCCTCAAGCTGGAAGGCTCGAAGCTCTCATCCGTCGCCACTTCTGATACCTGCGGTCCTTTCCCCTCGTGGCTGACCCAAGTCGACGACGTTCTCTACTGCGTCAACGAGGCCTGGGGCGGCCAAAACGGCGATCTTGCGGCCCTGCAAATCGGCGCCGATTCCTCCTTCACCGTGCTTAGCAGCGGGAAGACAGTCGGGGGCCCCGTGAGCACCATCGTCTACGGCAATGAGGGCCGTGGATTGGCTGTTGCTGATTAGTGAGTTTTTTCCCCGAACCCCCTGAAACCAACCCCCTTGTATGGTCCGGCACCCGTTCCGCCAGTGGGCCAACCATACATTGTCCGGAGTCCGGAGAGGAGAAGCGGCTAACACGTGAATTTAGTGCTGGTGGCGGTATTGACACTTTCGACATTTCCGACCCCGCGGCAATCAAGACCCTCGTGTCCAAGGTCTTCCCCGGCCGTGATGACGGCGCTGCTCCGCCGCAGGAGCAGGCCCGGCCGCACGAGGCCATCCTGGATCCCACCGGAGAGTTCCTCGTCTTCCCTGATCTCGGTGCCGATCTTATCCGTGTCCTCAAGGTGGACAAGGCGACTCTGGAGTACACCGAGAAGGTATGTAAAACCCTGTGCCACGTAATTGTCCATGGCCGTCTTGGATTTCAAGATACTAACTGACTTGACAGCCGAGCTACGAGTTTGCGCGTGGCACTGGCCCCCGCCACGGCGCCTTCTACCAGTCCGGCGACAACACCTACTTCTACGTCGTCTGCGAGCTCTCCAACCTCCTCCAGGGCTTCTCCGTCGCCTACAACGAGGACAGCTCCCTCACCTTCACTCAGCTGTACAACGCTACCACTCATGGCGCCACCGACGCGCTCCCGGAGGAAACCGCTGCCGCCGAGATCTTCCTTGCTGTAAGTGAATCACTCGAAGCGCCCAAGTAACCCAACCGCACATGCTAACGTAACAAACCCGCAGCCCAACAGCAACTTCCTGACCGTCTCGTCCCGCTTCGAGAGGGAGCTCTCGTACACCGTCGCCAACGGCACCGAGGTCGCCTCGGACCCGCTCATCACCTTCTCCATCGACGCCGAGGGCCAGCTCACCCACGTGCAGACCGCCCCCGCTGGCGGCATCAACCCCCGCCACTTCTCCTTCAACAGCGACGGCAGCCGCGTCGCCTCGGCCCTGCAGTCCGACGGCCGCGTCGTCATCTTTGAGCGCGACGTCACTACCGGCAAGATCGGCAAGGTCGTCGCCGAGACTGATGTCGCCGGCATGCCCAACTTTGTCTCGTTCAAGCAGTAGAGCGGGATCTTGGCTTTTTAAAGAAGGGGGGCTTAGATTTGCATTCTCTTTGGCTTTAGTTGTTGCGTCTTGTTTTAGAGAAATCCAAACCCACTAAAAGTTGGTTCATCCTACAACTTCGTTGGTTTTGCGAGGAGTGAGCCTTGAGAAGGGCAAGAACACCAAAACAAGTAAATATTCAAAAGAGACATGACTACTGTACATACTACCAACATCATGAATATTCCTCCTACTACCTTGTGAAGAGTGACCTGACCAAGCAAGTAACCAGCCCATCAACACCAACACCAACCCCGCGAAAACCTCCCCTTCTCCAACGAGTATGTAAAACAATAATTTTCCCTCCCCCCCAGCCGCCTCATGCCTAACCCGGTATTGCCTTCCCACCCATCACATGCATCTCGAAGGAGAGGAAAGATGTGAAACCGGGAGCGACGCGGTCGATCGCAACGCATCGCATCGCATCGCATCGCATCGCATCGCATCGCATCTTGCCAAGCCAGGGGCGCACGCGCGCAAAATCGATCGATCCGGCACTCTCCCCCCCTTTCTCATCTCCCATCTCCCCATCTAGCATCTCGTTCCTCGTCCCATCACATCCCATCATCCGCCCGCCCCCCCTCACTTTCGGCTTGGAACCCCGTTTTGGGGGGTGTTGGTCCGGCAGTGCTGGCGAACCGAACGGCCGGCAACCGTGGGCGTGGGTCTGGGCGGGCGGGAGGGGAGGGAAGTGGGGGATCTCTCTCTCGGTGTCTGTGCTGTGCTCTGCAGTGCGTGAGTGAGGGGACACGGACAGCCATGGTGAACTAGGCCAACAAACGCCCATGCCTTGTCTGTCATGTCATGGGGGTTTGGTGCTGTCATGTTTGTCAGGGGATTGGAGGCGCGGTGCAGGGTCTGGAGAGAGGACATGATATTTTTTCATCTTGGTTTGTCCGTTCGCGGCCGCCTCCGTCTGAGCCCTCCCTGAACGCGCGGATCCAGATCCGGGGGATCTCTTGTTAGTCCCCATACTACGGATGCATCACCATCGCCTCGCGGTGTGGCGCCGGGCCCGGGGTGGATTTGGGGATGGGGAGGGGGTCAACACAGTGTGGGCACTTTGTCGAATAGCGTTATGGAGTGGCTTTTGGGGAGGAATTTTGAGTTCAGAGATCAGATGGAAGCCGCGGGATGCTCCGGTCTCTTGTTGTTGACCCACCACACTAACGTTAGCCTGACCGGGGAGAGGGGAGCGTGAGGGGGGGAGGATCGGCAGCATCCCGATCCGGTGCTGACGGCCCGGGACTGTTCGGTGTTAGCGGCAGGTGTTCGGAGGTACGGAGCTGGTCAGACGCCGGGGCTCTGTGATGCCTGCCTATGTTTGCGACTGAGACTTGTTGTCTCTACCCATATGAACGAGACAGCATTCACGTACTGCCTTGCGGTGGCTTGCTGGGCTGGCGTTTCAGCGGTGGTAGCTGTCTCGGTTGCTGTTGGTGGTGGTTTGGCTCTGTCTTTCGTGTGGGGGGCAGTCTCGGTCGCCTCGCGACAAGTCCGCCGAGAACACCGGGCGCGAGAGCTTGTGCGCGCTAAGGTAAGAGAAAGGAGAAACCAACAAGGTTCCAGACTAGCCGCATGTCACAAGCCTTTAGTGTAACGGCAGCCCCGATTTGGACACATCGGGCCCAGGATGGCAAAACCACATTTTTTGGTTGGTGACGTGACAAGGCAGAGCTGGACCAAGCATTGAAGGCCCGGCATCCTCAATCCAGAACACATGCTGCCGCTCATCTGCTGACTTGTGGATGACGGAGACCGCCTCTGACGACAAGATGCATCTGTTTCAAGGGTTATGAAATTGGCACTCGTAGCGAGACGCGGGGGCAAAAAAGGGCCCGCTAGTATTGGAGATGAAAGGGGTCGGTGGACCTCGTAGGCGCTTCACGGTGAAGACGGGGGCCTGCAGAGAGGTTTTTTGTGCAGAAAACTCCGCGACAACATCCGCATCGGGGAGGAAAACGGCGCTGGACGAGACCTTAAAACGGGCTATTGCCGACCGCATCTGTATATGCACGCTTCGCGAGACCACCTGGGCGCCTCACGGACCACTTGGCTCGCTATCGCATCGCTCGAGGGCGACCCCAACACGACCTGGTCGAGACTTGTGACCGACAAGGGACCTGGTGCGGGGATCCTGGGGCCTCAATGGCGTCTTGTAGCTGTCGGCCACTCTCGCGAGATAGATAACTAATATATTGGTTCTAGAAGAATGTGGTTGACATGCTCGATCTGCAGCGCATGGGAGGGGTAACCCGAACCGATGCTCGGGCCGGGCCAAATGAGAAACCTGTCAACTGTGTCTGTAATATCATCACTTGTTTATTAGGTGGTTTGGTTGTCTGTGGGATTGTTTGAGGGCGAGATGCCCTCTGCCATTGACATCTCGCGGGTTTGTCAGAAAGCCACGGCCGTCGGCAATGGTCGGGTTTCCGGCAGAGGCATCGCACATCCCCCGCGGCTTGGCGTGTATGGAACGACCGCCCTCGGATGCTACCTAGCAACAACCACGGAGATGAAACCAAGGACATCATCGCGGGGATATCATCGCGGGTGGTCGATGGATCACGAGGATTACTGCGCCTGACTGGCCCTCCTCAGCCGTCCATGTGTGACATGAGGCCTAGTCCACGGCGATTAGAGGCCATAGCTTTCCTATGCGGATGAGAATTCGGTGGTTGACGGGGCCAAGGACCGGGTGGGGGGGTCCTGAGCCGTGGGGTGCCGCGCAGGGCCACCGAGGAGCCGCACGGGAAGGGACCGCAGCTGCTAACAATAACGTCTTTTGCTGTTGGACACAGGGGTCTGCAATATCGATTCCCGTATCGCCGCAGCCTGGGCGTGCGAGGTCTAGATGGCGAGCCACTTCGGTGACAATGGTGGCGGGTGTCGATTAATTAATATATCGTGGTGGATTGAAGAGTCCCATGACCGCTCGGCTATCCAGGGGACGGCGCGGGACACGGCCAGGCGCCGAAATCCCAGGAGGTCGGGTTGCCGAAAGGCAGCAAAGTACTTCGTATACTACTGCCAGTGACCGCGGACGTGTGGGAGAGCAGCCCGCGGGCCCCTCTCCGCGTTGTGGCGAGCCGGGTGCGGATTGTGATTACGGAGGACGGGATAACGGAGGCTTGGATACCTTCGGTGAGGGTGATGAGCCTTGGATTCCCATCACTCGTGCATACTGTGCGTGCAGACGTTGTCCAGGGTTTTCCTCTTCCGCGGTAATCAAGGCATTTGGCTGGCCATCCCCGGAGTTCTTGATTCGGCATGCCTGGTCGGAAGCCGGTATTTCTGTCGAGGTTACTTTGGACTTGTATGTACAGATCTGTAACCCGATATTCGTCTTTTGCTTCCCCATAGCCTTCGGTCCGCTGCTGAGATGGTGGTGAAGTACAAGGGTTTAATCGCAAGTATTCGGACCGAAGCCTCCTTTGGTGCCCAGTCAGAGAACTGTTCTGTACCAAGCCACTGACGACTAACGCGCTCGGCTGCGCGACGCCTGCATGTGCGGAGTACAGGGGGGTAACTGGAAGAGGCCCAGCATGAGACCAGCCACACAAATAACGGACCGCACCATCCGTCAACGTTTTTGCCAGCCACAGCCCCATGGCCTCGAACTGGAGCAGACGGTCGGGTCATGGCACCGACCCGAGGTGAGCGGAGTGGAGTTGCAGGTGGATCCTGGACAGGAACAGCAAGGAGTTCTCTGGAGTTTCTCTCTCAGCACGTCTGTGCGCCCGAGATTGTGATTTCGGATGGCGATGTGTGTTGTTGGAGGACCCCTGGCGAGCCGGTGAGCTTGGCCCGAGTCTGGGCGACGGCAGAAGATCCTGCCATCCATGCCATTGTCATCATCGTGGTCGCCCGACTGCCCTGATGCCCTGCTGCCCTGTTGGACCCCCAATCTCGGAATCCTCTCGGTTAGTTGGCTGAAAGAGGACGCACGGCTTGCCTCCTTGCTCACTCGACACGCACACGCCGCCCGCAGGTCAGGCAGCTCGCAGCTGGCGTGTGGTGGCGATCCCGGAGTGGATCGTGGTGGTGCTCACGGGACTCGTCGCAGCGACTGACTCCCTTGCCGCGAGGGAGTCCTTTACGGCTTGCGAAGCTGGAGGCTGGTAAGCATCCATTCATCTTCACATGACTCCTTCTTTTGGAAATGTGGACAACGAGACGGCAGAGGCAGGCGGCACGGCAGAGTTGATTAACTGGTCAGTTTGTATTCGTATCCCGTCTGGTTGGATGGGCTCGGCATGGGAATGCTTGTAGACACGGCCCAGAGCGAGACCGCCTTCATCCCAGGTGGGTGCAGTGGTGCAGACCGTCTGCGCGCTTGTTGCTGGCGCGATGATCTTGAGCCGCCTTGGGACCAAGAGCTCGCCCGATGTGGGGTGGAAGGAGCTTCTCGAAGGCTTCTCCTCATCCACGACGAACCCTTTTTGGTCGAATACCGCGGAGAGCCCGAGCGTGGGGCTGACGTGGTTCGACAGCCAAGAGATTGTGAGGAGCGATGCTCGCAGCTGCCGGATTTATGCTAAATCAAGAGTCACCGAGTTTGGCAATGCTTTAGAGAGGCGGCTGTGTTTGGAGCCTAAGAGAAATTCGAGGTGCGTTGCTGATTACCCAGCTATGAGATTACCTGGTTAAGCCTGGGTTGTGGTTGTTGTGCGAATTGATTGAGCACATGGTTGAGTTACCAAGTAAAAATGGATTGTGGGGAGGCGAGACAATGTGTGCTCCAGAAAAGAAATAATTAACTCCTGTGCAGGCGAATGCAAAAAGATGGAAGGTGCAGGGTTGATGGCTGTGGCTTGCTGTGTCAGCGGCTCGACCGCAGCTGAATTTCCCACTTCTCGTCGCGAGTCGCTAGCCATTTGTCCCATTACGGGCATCGACTGGTTTGGGTTTCTGTTTCTGGAGTTCCAAGTTCGTCGGAGGGGTGGACCAGTGGGCGAACCAGTTGGCGAACCAGTCCGAATCGACTAGGTGAAGTCAAGAAACCGGGCCACATGGTAGGGTGTGTGTCTCACCACGCCAGTGCTCGCCAACGAGAAGAGCTGCACGAACGGGAGAGAGAGCGTTCCATGAGAGCAGGCTTAAACCCACTCGAGTGTACCTATGTAGTCAAGTCGTGTAGGTGGTTGCATACTCGCCCACACCATCCAACTAGCCAGCCAATGTTTGTACTCCCTTTGCCCGGCGGCGAGGTTTTGGCCTTGATTGACCGTGCACTTCATCACCACGAACCGTTGCTGGGCGAGATGATCGGCGGTTGCCGAGCTGAGCTTCGAGGGGATTGCGCGGACCCTTGCATGGATTGCCGGTGCCGAATCTGGGAGCAACGGCGACAGAGAAAGACCACCTGTAGCTTGTCTCCTGTGTCCTGTGTGTCCTGTCTCAGACTCACACTCTCTCAGCAGTTCCATGTCCGTCAATGCCCGTCTCTGTTGCGCACCAATCCGCGCGCCTTCTCAAAGCCCATGTCGGTGTTACATGTCTAGGACGTGTCCGACATGTTAGAGCATGTGTTGGGAAACCTGATCGTGAGGTGTGGAAACCCTCGAAACTGGAAGGAAGACAAGATTCCAAAGCCAAGGGGAAGGTGCGGAGGTCGAGGGTCGCCCAGAGAGAGGCGGCCCAGTGAACGGTTGGGATCAGAAACCCCACCCCCGCGTTTCTCTGGTTGGCAAACCCTCCTTCATTTGCTTCCGTCTCCTCCACACCCGGACCCGACGACCCACCATCTTCCCAGGTCTTGCTGGTCGACGGTGTGTGTGAATGCCGTGGCTCGTCGTTGCCCATTTGCCAGCGATGACACGACAATCCATGGATCGCTTCATGCAGCCTCCCAGAACCCCAGAACCCCCGAAAGCGAGCGTGCAGGTCCCAAGGTCCCTCGGTCCGGCATCGCTCGCTGAGAGGACCACGCCCGCTTTCGCACGCTAACCGTTAGTCACTCAGCTTGGGCACTTCCGGAACAGGCTCGACGGGCTCAACAGGCTCAACAGGCTCGACAGGGCGACCCCAAGATGCAGAGAAAAAAAAGGCGACATTTAACGCACCCCACAACGCGCCTTCTTTCGAAGAGTCCATGCAACCCTGCACAGGGGTCCTCGAGTGCGACTCCACAACAACCTCAGAGCAGCGCTCGTCCCCCTCACCCCCAGCCTAACCCTTGTCCACCACAAATGCATCTCCCCCGGTTGGCGCTAGCGCATGCCACCCCGGTCCCTCGCCGTCCCGCCTCCGTTATGGCTGGCCTTCGGCGCACGTAACAGGACCAAGCAGCTTCTCCCAACTTCTCCCCGCAAAAGCCAGCCGTTTGCGTTAGCACAGTACAAACGCCACAACTTGACACGCACAGGCCCATGTCTGGCTGTGATTAAAGGTGCCTCCGGGGAACAAGCGGTACTGCAGAAGGACATGCTCAAGACGAAAAGTGACCGACCTACACACCCCCCCCCCCCCCTGATTGGAGTCCCCAGTTCGTCTCGGCAAAGGCTGACCCCGTGTGCGGGATGAGATACATATGAATCCTCCAACCCGACCTTTCGTTCCCAAGATCCCGGAGAACGCTTCCCACCTACCACCTACCTAACACAGTACTTGCCCCAACCACGCCGTCCGCCCCGGATCTGGCCCACCAAACGAAACCACCACGCCAAACCAATCACCCGGCACTGGCCCTCCGGTTCTTGTTGGCAGCGGCACGATAATGCGAGTTCGACTACGAAGCACGGGTTTTAGTGATTTTGGAGTTTGCGGCGTTTGAATAAACCGTCAACTCGATGTTGGAACAGCCGCTGTCGTTGACCGGTCGTCGATTGGAAGGAAATCAGCAGCAAGCACCCGCCTCCCCAGTCGTGGGTAGCTCGGGTATTTGGAAATCCGGCACGGTGTCGCAACCCAGCCAATTCAGCATGTCGCCGTCTTCCAACGGCGACTCACCGCACTCGGTCACCGCCACCATGACGACCGCTGCCAGCGCCACCGTGGTAAGACAGCAGTATCCGCTGCCGAATCGGGATTTCACCGTCGACATCCCGTCGCCCCAGCTTGCCGCCGGTTCCAATGGCGCCGGCCTGCTCAAGTCGCCAAACTCGCTCAAGGCGGCGCGGGCTGCTTCTAACTTCAGTCGGGAGGGCATCCTTGGCTCGGCCCAAAAAGCGCGGAATTTATCACAGTCGTCAGACAACAGGCCGGACGGAGTCCCGAATGGCATCCCAAAGTCCACGAGCGAAGAGAGCATCAACCCGCTGAAGAGGAGAAACACAGATGCAGCAGTAGATTATCCGAGGAGGAGAGCGACCATTGCCGTATGTGCGCAATCGCAATGGAGCTGCATCCCCGTGCTAACTTGTCGGTAGTGCGAAGTGTGCCGCTCGAGGAAGTCGCGATGTGACGGCACGAAACCAAAGTGCAAGCTCTGCACGGAGCTCGGCGCTGAGTGTATCTACCGAGAACCCGGCATCAAGCTGGACGCCGGCGACAAGCTCATCCTAGAGCGCCTAAACAGGATCGAGAACCTGCTCCAGATGAATATGGTGGGCCACGGCAATGGCATAAGCTTATCTCACGACTCGCCAAATATGAGCAACGGCACTGCTTTGAGCGGGGACAATCTCATGATGCGGAACGCGAACAACGAGTTCGTCTCGATCATCCCTAGCGGCGGCCTGGGCACCTGGTCCGCGACGGCCACCAACATATCAACTATGCCAAAGGTGCACACAAACGCAGCCCTGCACCTGCTACAATGGCCGCTCATCAGAGACTTGGTCTCGCGGCCATACGACCCCCAAATCCTACTTCAGCTCGAAATGGCCCGCGAACCGCTGCACTCGCTCGCAAAGACGCCCTGCGTGGATTTGTCAAATACCAATGCTTACATCGAGGCCTACTTTGATCGCGTCAACATCTGGTACGCCTGCGTTAACCCATATACATGGCGGAGCCACTACCGGATCGCGCTATCGAACGGTTTCCGAGAAGGGCCAGAGAGTTGCATCGTGCTCCTCGTCTTGTCACTCGGCCAGGCGAGTCTGCGCGGGAGCATATCGAGGATCGTTCCGCACGAGGACCCCCCCGGCTTGCAGTATTTCACGGCTGCCTGGTCATTGCTCCCCGGTATGATGACCTCCAACAGTGTTCTTGCCGCGCAATGTCACTTGCTCGCCGCCGCCTACCTCTTCTACCTAGTGAGGCCACTCGAGGCATGGAATCTGCTCTGCACCACGAGCACGAAACTGCAGCTCCTGCTCATGACGCCAAATCGAGTCCCCGCCGACCAGAGAGAGCTCATCGAGAGAATCTACTGGAATTCGCTCCTTTTCGAGAGCGATCTATTGGCCGAGCTAGATCTGCCCCACTCGGGCGTCGTCGCGTTCGAGGAGAACGTCGGCTTGCCTTGCGGCTTCGAGGGAGACGAGCAGGAGGCGGTCGGGCGGGACGAGCTGTGGTACTTCCTGGCCGAGATCGCGCTGCGTCGGCTCTTGAACCGAGTCAGCCAACTCATTTATTCCAAGGATTCGATGGCGTCGACGACAAGTCTCGAACCCGTCGTCGCTGAACTCGACTTCCAACTGACGCAGTGGTACGAGAGCCTGCCCGTGCCACTGCAATTCCCCTTTACGCGCACCATGCTCGCGGATCCGGTACAGACGGTGTTGAGGCTACGATTCTTTGCTTGCCGGACCATCATCTACCGGCCCTACATCCTCGCGGTTCTGGACAACGAGCAGGCCATATTAGACCCCGCGGTGCGGGACAGTTGCACCAAGTGCCTAGAAGCCTCCGTCCGGCAATTGGAGCACATTGCCGCGCAGTAAGTTCTTTTCCCATCCCTCCTATTGGCCGATGATCCCTCCAATCTAACCAATTGGCCGCAGTCACGCCGGACACATGCCGTACCTTTGGCAAGGTGCGCTCTCCATCGTGTCGCAAACCTTACTCGTCATGGGCGCCACAATGTCACCGTCGCTGTCATCCATCCTTTGGAGCCTCGTTCCCCACCGCGAGGCTATCGACCAGATCATCAACGATGTGGTCATGGAGATCGAACGCTTCGCCGTCCTCTCTCCCAGCCTCAGCCTGTCGGCCGAGATAATCAAGGAGGCTGAAGTCCGGCGCCGGACCTTCCTGAGCGGTTGATCCGTTTTTTAACAGGGCACCCCGGACATTTGCCCCGAACTTGCATCTCGCCTAGCTCGTCCTCGACCACGCTTCCGGCCCTCTGGGAAACATAGTGGTTTCCCGCATCACACAAAACCCCACGACCCGATCTCGCCTATTGCCAATGCATGGAGCCGCTGCACGTCTAGCGCGCATGCCCAGCCCGCCAGGAGAGTCGACCTGCATCAACACCTTTTTACACAAACACCCGGCTCCGTTACCAATGGAATCGAGTATTGATGTTGGCACCGCTGATGGCTCCCCGAGGAGCCGGTTGCCACCCTCCGACAATGTCTAGGGATTCCAACCATGGATGCGAGAAAAATCCACCATGGCCTCGATCGCCGGCGCTGGCGCGCGGGCTACTGCACGAGGAAGTTGGATCGTCAAACTTTACGCCGAAGCTTCCCCTGTTCCTTGGACTGGGCGTTCAGCCCTGACTGGACAATGGGGTTGGCGCCAGAGTGCAAGCTGCTGGGAGATCTGCAAGCTTGATCTGGGGTTACACGCTGCTTTCCTCTGAGCGAGTCAAAATTGCCCTTTTGTTGGAGCGAGGCTGCGGATGACCTTGGATACGGCTCTCGCGGCCCGATGTCCCGCTTCAACCTGTCCCATCCCCGCTCCCCGCCTTCTCTTCTTCATGCACCCCGTCCTGGACATCAACCGGCGGTCGGGGCCACAATCCTCTTTTCATTTTACCTTTTTTGCACTCTTGGGCCCTCCGGCTCGGTTTTTTTTTGACCTTTTTTTTCCCAGCGTCACGGACGGGATATTGGAGGGGGTAAAACTGGTAGGGCAATATACCGACCACCGTTAGGCGTTGTTGGGGGGATGGAATACCTTTTTGAGGACAACTACGTTTTGGAATCTATGTGAACTTCTCTTCTTCTGGCATTATCTCATTTGGTGGATATATCCCCGGGTTTTTAGCATGAAACATGTATCAGGATTGGCGAAAGCCACATGAATTACGTTTTACTGGTTGCTGGGAGAAGGAACATGGACATGTCGTTCCGTTGTCTTTGGTGGCTCTTGGACTTGACCTGATTGATAGTTGAGTCTTTAGATCAGTGGATCTTCCTCATCAAAAAATCTACGCAGGAGCATCCCCAAACGATATACACAGTGCAATAACACCCACCATCGGCGGCATTTGACCCCTATTTTTATCATGTTTAATCTATTCCTTCCTTCCTCACCCCGACGCTGGCATGCCGATCCCTCACGGACCCACCGCGACGGTGTCGTGTTGCGGGGTTATCACATTCCCCAGAACGAGCCCCGGAATACCCCAGTTTTCCGCTCTTTTTTTCTTCTTGGAGAGGAGGAGGCACGGGAGGGAACACCCCCCTTCCCCTCCCCCATCTTCGCCGGGCCCGTCTTCCGCAGCCACATGCAAGGCCCCTGGGCCCCGGGGCATGGATGCGCGCCGCATGTGGCAAGGCGGAATGGGAGACGTTTCGCTGCGAGGGGGAATTGATCGGAGACTTTCTCCAATTCTGGTTTTATTTTTTATTTTATTTTTTGGCGGGTGCACTTCGGCGGTCTATTCTGAATGAACGGCACCGAGGCATCCTCTTTTTTGCCTTGATTGACCGGTGAACCTACCTGTGTCCCTCACCTCGTGACTTTTTGATGGCTTGTTGGTTGGTACGTTTGGCGAAGAGAAGGCGGGGTTGCATCATGCACCAGCACCGACCGGTTTGCTGGACGAACCATTCCACTCACGCAGTCAACTCACTGAGTTACTCCCCCGCTGGCGCCGGCTGGCCCGGTTGCTGCTTTGCGCATCGTATTGTGTGAGCTTGTGGGTTTGTTCCTTCGTCGGGGGTGGGAGTTGCATGCATGTTGGTATGTATGTATGTATGCATGTATATGTATGCACATAGCGGACAAGAGGTCCCGTCGGTCTGCGAGGGAACCGTCCCCTCATCGAGTAGTGGAGATCTTCAGGAGACTTTCTCCAGATGGCGGGCATGTCGGCATGGGTTGTCGAGCTGATGAAGACGCATGTAAGCAACGCAGGAGCGAGGGTGTGGATTTGCGGGGGAACTGGGCGTGCCGAGCGAGGAGCCCAGGTCGCAGGTAAAACGGATCCTGTCCTGGGCCTGAGGGAAATACAGTGGATGCACGTGGGCAGGTCTTTGCTTGTTGTTGTTGCTTTATTGCCTGCCTCGCCCCCGTCTGCATGTAGTTATACGGGATGTGGTCCGGACTCCTGTTTCGGGTCTGCCTGCATGGACAGCTGTATTGACGGCTTATACGAGGCTTATATTTGCGACTGGGCCGCACCAGAAGGTGAAGGAGCAAGCTCGATCGAGCTCTGCGCCACCATGCGCAGAATCAGATCAGATGGCACCCCGGCTGAGCCCGCCCCCTCCCTTGAAAGCGGAGAGCGAGGAGAACCAAGATCGCAGTTTCGTTGCAGACGACGACAGATCCTGAACAACAGACTAATCCTGCAGGTTCTCGGTGACGTGATGCAGGAAAACCTCTTGGCCTGGGGATAAGACGGAGCATGAGAAACGGGTTGTGGCTAGAGTATTTTCATGGCCTCTCCGTTCCTTGATAACGCTTGCCAAGCGTCAGGGGACCACGATTGTCTGTTGACAATGCCGTGGTCCGACGGCAAGGCAAGATAATCAGGGTTGTTTATTCTCAGTAAATTGCACATCGGACCGAGACGGAGTGAAGAGTCTTCTGCACCGCTGCACCCCCACGTCCTTTGGAAGCGTACTTGTCGTATACTTTTAAGTCACCGCGTTCTCGATCTTGATAGGGTGGAGTTGCCACTTCTTCAAATCGTCACATCACGATGCTTTGATTTGTCTTAACAAGACGCGTTGAGGCCGGCCGGCACCGTCTAAGACGGCTAGCCTGTTCCGACAAGAGACGTTTGAGGCGGATCTCTAGCGGTCGCCCGCTCCACATATTTTTGTGGGGGCCCCTTGTTGAATTCTTTGGAGGGGCGTCCCTGGGGGGGGGGGGTCAACCGACCCCCCCCGGGAAAATAAAAAAAAAAAAAAAAAAAAAAAAATAAAAAAAAAAAAAAAAAAAAAAAAAAAAAAAAAAAAAAACTCAATTTCAGGTAGAGTGGATGATGGACGGCTCGCAACCTTGCATGGCCCGGCCCGTTCATGCTCGGCGACAAGACCCGGCCGGTTGGTGTTGGGTCACAACCGGGCCGCAGCCGGGCGTTGAATTCGGACCAACACGGGATCGGATTGCTGCGGCGGCACAAACAGCAGGTGGAGTCGATCCGACCAACATCAGATGCCATCCATCGGGGAGATCCGCGGTCAAGCTCCCGAGCCGCCGCTGTGGAAACCGGACACGGACAGCGGGCAGCAAAAGCAGTGGAACCTGCACGTCGACCCGTCCAATGTTCAACGGCTCTTAATTTTTTTTTTCTCTTCTTGTTTTCTCCTCTGCCCCCCCTTTTTTGGCCTGCCCAGGACGCAATGCCCGCCGTACTTCCACGGCGACGACAACACCATCATCCCCATTCCCATCCCAACCCCCGCGACACAGCTGAAGCGGGCTGTTCCGTTTGCCGTGTGTTTGATGCGGGACCGAATCGGCAGGGCCCGCTGCCTGATTGCGGGGAAGGGGTTTTACGGTGAGGGTGCTGTGGGACTTAGCCTCGTAGCTGCCGTGTCCCCATCCCGGCAGTGTTCCGATCAAAGCCTCAGCATTTTTTGCTTTTTTCGTGGTTGAAACACGCCGGGCTTCAGAGGCGTGTTTGAGGCGCGCAGAAGCAACCCTCCTGAGAAAAGGGGAACTGACTGGTTGCTTTCTTATAGGTTGTGTAGTTACCTAGGTAGGTACCTCGTTGAGTCATTTTGGTGGTTGTGCTGGTCTTTGCCCTGCCCCACGTGACATATCACACCACAACCCGCCTTCTCCCGCCTTCGTAATTTCGATTGGACCTGCCACTCGTCAGCTGGCGTCACTTCTTGCACCCTTCAGCCGGACTGAGGTGGTGTCGAACTTTGGGTCTTTGCCCTCTGTGTCCCGTTTTCTCACCAGAGTGGGAGACATTCGCTTCCAAAACCAGAAGAAGGTCATCATCTGAGACCACGGGTTGTTGACTGGCTCTGGCTCACGGGGCTTGTGGAGCTTTAGGCCTCAGAGAGTTTAGCAAGGGGGAGCTAGGGGCTGTCTTAGCACCCCCCATCTCATCCCGGGCGGGCATCATCACCCCTCATCTGAACTCTCCTCCCCCGCGCAACCCATCTTCACCCTCACTCCTCGGGCCTCTTCTCATCTCGACGGAGCCCAAAGCGCCTGGCGTCATTTTTTATTTGGTTTTTTTCTTCTTTCTTTTTTTTCCGCGAGCAACCCGGGGGGGCTTGTTGGGCTTTTATCAGGCTCGCAGGATTCTCACTGGAAGTCGAGAACGAACCGGGGTGGCCTGTTTCGAGAGAGCCTGTGTTGTGCTGGCAATGCACGTCGACCCTTCGCGATTGGGGCATCCGTAGACCCGCCCCTGCCCGGCCAACCACGCCCAACCATCTGGCCGAACTCTTCAATTCTCCATCTCGAGCCTGCTCCTCCCACTGCGGCTGCCCGACTGACTGACCCAGCGACCATCCTCGGGGCCGCCGCACTGGACTCGACAAAAGTCTTGCTTGCTGCAACCGCGGGGCTGAACGACCTGGAAAGGGACGAATGGCCGACGTAGACCGACAGCAGGGCGGGCCCAGCACCTCGCGACGGAAGAAGGTCGCCGGCAAATCGAAGGCACAGCCCGCAAATGATTGGTCACGGAGCGGCGAGCCACGCTCCCGTGCCTCGCCTCGTTCGAACCGCCATGGAGATATAGACGTAGACCTTGTCGAGTCGTCCGACGACGCCAACGACGCCCACGACGCCAAAGCGTCGCCCCGGAAGCAGCGACGACGACGTCGTCCCCAACCTCCGGCCGACACCACCTCTGACACGGCCTCGGAGACAACCCACCCGGCCAAGGCCCCCGCGCCCGCCATGAAGGGACGCTCCAAGAGCATGCGGGTGCCCAACGCGTCCGTGCCCACGCCCCCTCGGCGCCCAACCTGTATCATCGAACCGGCCGACGAAGATGATGCTTCTCCCTCCGGCCCCTCGCGGCCCGTGAGTCGCCAGACCATCGCCCGCCGCGACGTCAGTCCCCGATCCGCTCACCCCTACCGGTCGACTCCCGAGTCTCGCCGCTCCCCGAGGACCTCTGTTTCCGATTCGGAAGACGACACCGACGCCACCTCTGACTCGGACTCGGAACAGGTCATCCTACCCCGCGGAAAACTCCCCGCCGTACCATCTGCGCCCCCGCCCATGCCCGCCGGCGCCCACGGTTCGCTCCAGGAACGGCTGATGCAGCGCCCCGAGATGGTGTACGAAGAAGAGGACGGCACCTCGAGGTACGCGCCGTCGGCTAGGCATAGGTCGTTATCCCGCCCCGCTTCCAGCGGACAGGACCCCTATCGGCGACCCAGGGACATCACTGTTTCCGGGCCCCCTAGCCTCGACGAAACACGCCGCTCCCGGTCGAGATCCAAGAGGTAATAAACAGGGCGGCCATGTGTTGCCTAGATTTTGAGCTCCAAACGTGCTGACGCCGGTTGTAGTGCCAGGCCGTCGAGAAGGCACTATGAATCCGATGTCTATATCTCTTCGAGGCCCGCCTCATCCTTCAACAACAAGAGGGCCCATGCCGCGTCATCATATAGCCTCGGATCCTCCGCGAAGCGTTCAACCTTCTTTCCCGCTGATTATTCCGCACCTCTTGCCCGCATCTCGCAACCGGAGAAACCAGCCGAGCGGTCAGTGCCCTGTGTTCCGCGACCAATCGGCGCCGTGTGACATTCTGACTTTGTTTTTAGTACTACCGTGTGTGTGCGTTGCAGGGACGATACCACCCCTGTGAGCCAGACAGCTAAGCTCAAGTGTTGCCATCGCATGTGCCATTCCTGTTTGCGCAAGGTCTTCAAGCTATCACTCACCGATCCGCAACACCACATGCCCCCGCGGTGCTGCACCAATGATAACATTCCCGCCGAATCTGTTCACAAGCTGTTTGATTCCAATTTCAAAAATGAGTGGAATAAGCAGTTCAACAGCACGCTGGCAGAAGCCACAAGACCTGCCCGTCGCGGCGATGCGGTGAGCTATTAAAGCTTGAGGAGATGCGCCATGAAGGCGCACGTTGGCAGGGTAGGTGTAGCCGTTGCAGAACCAAGATTTGCGCGTCTTGCCACGGCCGATGGCACCACGAGCCTGAATGCCCGAGCGATGATGACGCCGCCTTGTTCACCATTGAACAACCGACAAAGCGGGAACCGTGGCAACGCTGCTACCGCTGCAAAACCATGGTGGAGGTCAGGGACCGCCGTAATCATATCGCCTGGTGAGGACCACGTCCCGTCACGAATTTACTCTTTGGCGTTAGCTAACACCACGTCTTTCTTCTAGTCGGTGTGGCGCTGAACTCTGCCCGCAATGTGGAGGGAAGTGGAAGAGTTGCGAATGTCCCTCCTTTACAGACGACCCGTTTGAGGCTGAGATAGCGAATCCACGAGCGAACCCCTTCGCGTCTCGGCCGCCTTCGCCTTCACCTCGTGACTTCCGGTCAGATTTTGCACCCCCTCACGCCGCCATTACCCGGCCCCGACCGTCAAGTTACGAAGACGATGCGCATCTACGCCGCTTGCATGAACACCACCACCGCGATGACCACCTTGCGCGGAGAATGCATTCGTTTGACGAGTTTGGCCATCACAGTGGCCATGCTGATCCTAGCCGAAGAAGGGAGGACTACGATTTCGAGACCCCCGAACCTCGTGATCGCCGTCGACGTGCGGACATGCGCGATTTCGCCAGCCCGTTTGCGGACGAGGACTATCACCGCCGAGCTGCAACTGTCGTTGCGCCGTCGCCACCACAGCCCCACGTCCCAGCCGCGCCGCCTCCTCCTCGCTCAGCATTCGAGCCGCCTTCCCGTCCAGCTTTCGATCGTGCGGCGTCCGGCTTTGAATATGGCGCGGCGCGCCGGGGCCGGGATGCGCGCTATGCCTCCCCGGAGAGGTTTGACCATTACATGCCCGAAAATTATCCTACCGAACGGCGCCGGCCTCGCTCTCCCGACCCGTGGCAAGCTTTCCCTCAGGAGCAACGGGCTCGATCTCGCGACAGACGCCACACTTTCCCGTCCGAATCACGTCCTACGTCCCCTGAACCCTGGCAACTTCCCACACGATACCCGTCTCCCGAAAGACCTGTGCCGGCTGTCGAGGAGAGACGACGCGCTCCGTCTCCCGACAGGCGTCAGGCATCTTCGTTCGAACAGCGCCTTGCCAGCAGATTCAAAAAGGAGAGCAGACAAAATCCCACCGCTCCCATTGTCCCCATTGGCGCTGCCGGCCCGGTTGGCGCCCTGGGTCCATTGAGTCCCACCCGTGCTCCCCCACCACCTTCCCGAGCTGCCACCCACATCGGTGCAAGCATGCCCATGGCGCCAATCCCTCCATCCATTCACGGCGGCCCCCCCCCAGCACCATCCCTTCGTAGGCACCACACCATGGACGAGGATATCTACGGACCCGGTGCCGGCATGCCCGGTGGTGGTATGCCCGGCGGTATGCCCAACGGTATGCCCGGTGCTATGCCCGGTGGTATGGGTGGTATGCCTGGTATGTCTGGTAGCGGGATGCATGGCAGCGGGATGCCTCCCCCGGGAGATTGGTTCGGACCGCCTCTGCCCCACGGCCATCCCCATAGCCACTCGCATTCCCACCCCCCTCCTCCCGGCATGGGGATGCCCATGATGCACCCCGGCCATCACCCGGCCATGCACGACATAGCCCCGCCGGACATGAACCCCGCCAACGGCGGGTCACACCGTGCGCCGCATGTGAGGAGGCGCCCGCCGCAAGCCCATCGTGAGCACAGCAAGTATGACATCCCGCGTTCGTCGGTCCTGGCGGGCCTCGGCGGGATGGGTCGAGGCGCCCTTCGCGTCCATGAGTGGGTGAACTATGTGGAGCCAGGCGCGCCGGATGACTTGACGCATATGGCCATGCATTAGCTTTGCTTTTATTCTAACCTTGGGATCTCACTCACTCGCTTCTTCTTTCTTTTTTCTGTTGTTGTCTGGTCCGGTCTGCTCTTGTTCTCTGCGGATATTTACGTTCACTCATTTATTATATGTTGGATCTAAAATCCTACTTCCGTTGCCTACCCTAGTTAGGACTGAGCGGAGATAGTACGTTAGGTTACTGTTGATCAAGGTGGTTACCTGGGGTATTTGGTATCATGGACGGATTTGGATGGATTGGATGGGAAGGAGGGTAAGCATGAGAGACAAAGTCATGACGTTTATGATTGAAATGACGTGGATGGTTGGTTGGTCGGTTGGCATATGGCAGTGGTGTGACTGGGTGCCTATCTCTTTGGGTATATTGTTAGCGGCGACAGCAAGTGAACGAAAGGGATGGGTCAGGGGAAGGAAGGGGCAAAGGGATTTCCATTGCTTGCTCTGACCCAGGCAGAGGCTTTTTGTATCTACTAGCTCATGGATGGATGCATATAATGTCTGTTTGCTCGCTGATTCAATTTTGTTGCCTCACACTCATATCTGGTTTGTTTTGTTTGGTGAACCTGGTAGTATTATGGGACGAAAGAAACTTGTGACTGCCCATGTCAAGTGTAGGTGGGATAAAATGGATAATGTGGATTTTGTTCAGAGACGGCACGGTCTAGTTATCTGTCGCATGTCTGGGATGAGAGATCGTATAGTGACGCCGAAAATAGACTTTTGTAGATTCTATTCCAACGTCTCATTCCACCCGCCAAGCTAAACGGAACACTATACCGCGCCATATATACACACACAACCAACCGACCCAACCAACCCAACCCAACAAACCCACCGACCGCTCTATCACCTCTTCGCCCTCTTCGCCGGCCGCGCGTTCTTCTCCCTCTTCTGCTCTTGCACCTGCCTCGCCTTGCGGATATCCGTCGCGCTCTTGAGCTCACGCCGGCTGCCCTCACCGTCCTTGTACTTGCCGATGCGTTTCTCGCGCGCCTCGGCTACCCGCTTCTTGCGCACGTGGTAGTCGTCGCGGAACTTGTCGGCGTCCTTGGGTGCCTTCTCCTGCCGGTGCTTGTAGTGACCCGCACCCGCCCCACCAGGGCCGCCGCCGCTGAAGTTGCGCACGAGGTTGGCCTTCTCGGCCTCGCCCACGCCGGGAAGCCGGCCCAGGCGGTTGGCGCGGCGCCACTTGTCGAAGCGGCCGCTCTGGAATGAGGCGGCGATCTTGACGCCGGACTCGCCGCGGATCATCTTGGCGCCGCGCGAACCGTCGTCGTCGTTGGCGCGCGCCACGTACTTGCTGTGGCGCTTGTCCCAGCGCAGCTTGGAGCGCGTTGGGAGGCCGAATGCCTTGGCGCCGTCGTCGTTGGCCAGGTCCATGGCCGCGTCGCGCGCCGCCTCGACGAACTGCGTGGTGCCGCCCGAGTTGAACGCCCGTACGCCGCGCTCTTCGGCAGGCGCTGGTGGTGCGATGGTGTGTAGGACATGAAGATTTCGGGGTCTTGGAAGGATGTTTGCCCCTTGGTAGGATTTGCCGCTGCTTGTTACCGTCACTTCGAGTTCGGATTCGGATTCCTCGTCCTCCCAGGCCTCTTCGTCGTCCCCAGGCGGGTTGGTCTTCTCCGGACTCGAGGTCCATTTCGTTTTCCGGAGGGGTTGATTCATCCTCGTCTGCATCCGCCATCTCTGTGTCCTCATCCTTCTTACCCGACCTCCGCAGGGCCGACTCGTGCCCTGAAGCTGCGCATAACTTCAGCGGCCTTGTTCTTGCCCGATTTTCCTTGGGGTCCAATCTCGAAAACTGTCTCTTGGGGCTTGAAACCGCTGATTTTGGAGAGCAGGTTGTCCCTGGCTTCTTCGGCGTTTGCGGCCGACGCTCCAAAGAGGGGGTGTAGTTGGGTCCAGCTCCTGGATGCAATAACCTCACGAGCACGTTTGGCGCTCGAACTGGAGGCCGAGTTTCGGGTCTTCATGTAGAGCTTCTCGGCCTTGACCGTGACCCCCCTAAGGGCGCTGATATCGTCATAGTCGCCAAGCACCTTTTTAACCCATTCTATATTATTTTCAAGATTGGATCTCATCAAGGTGCCAACAACGACATCTTGGGCATAAGATGGCTCTTTTACCTCCTGGCCAACTGCCAGTTTCCTGCCAAGAAAGAGTTGGAGGTCGATGAGGTAGGGAAGATCTGATTCTCTCACGAGAGCATAGGCCCAACCGCGCTGGCCAGCACGGGCTGTTCTGCCGACACGATGCACGAAGATCTTGGGTTGAGGAGGGAAATCGTAATTGATCACATTCGCGAGCACTGGAATATCGATACCACGGGCTGCAACATCCGTGACGACCAAGATGTTCGTCCTTCCCCTCCTGAAGTTGTCGACTTGGATCTTTCGGGCGGTTTGGTCGAGCGAACCGTAGATGTATGACACAGAAAACCCTGCATGGCGAAGTAAGTGGGCGATGTACTCAACGTGGTGCTTGGTGGCCGTAAAGATAATGGTCGAATGCTCGGTCGGCTTTTCTTTCCTATTTCGCCTCTCCGAGTCGCGCTTTCGTTTCCTCGCCTGTTGTTCATCGGTCTCTTCCTCGATGCCTTCTGGGACCCCCAGCGGCATTTTGATAACATCGTGCAGAATGTGAAGAAGGGCCCCCTCCTTTTCGCCGCCTTTCACTGAGAAAAACGCGCTTTCAAGATCGGGTGACACTTTGGTCTCGGCGTCCAACCTGATGAGGCTTGGCTCCTGCAGACCGGCTCTGGCGAACTCGACCAACGATGATGGGAGGGTAGCAGAGAAAAGAAGAGTCTGCCTCGATGGCGGCAGCGCGTGCAGAATCTCGGTAAGCTGGGCGGCAAAACCCATTTCGAACAGACGATCAGCCTCGTCAAAGACGACGTATCGAACGGACGAGAGATTCAGAGACATCTCGACCTTCAAGTGCAGAAATCGGCCCGGTGTGGCAATGATGATATCCGGGTTGGCGGCCATCAGACCGAACTGTTCCTCCAGGCTATCGCCACCAACCAGCAAGACCGTCTTGAGGTCAGTTCCCTTCCCTAGTTCCTTCACGACCTTTAGCGTTTGGAGGGCCAATTCGCGAGAGGGCGACATGATGATAGCCCTGGCGCCAACTCTAGCGCTATGGGCCTTCAGTCGCTCAATCATGGGGATGACGAAAGCGGCGGTTTTTCCTGAACCGGTTCGGGCCATGCCCACCACGTCGCGCCGTTCGAGGACCAGGGGGATCGTCTTGCGCTGGATGGGGGTGGGGACGGAGAAGCCTTTACGACTGATGGCTCTCAAGAGGTTCGAGTTGAGACCTTCCAGCACGGGGTTCGAGGGTTAGAGTTATTCATACGAGACAGCTCGCCAGTCGGGTCAGGGTCGCGGCACTCACCCATGGCCTGGAAACCGCCGCTCTTCTTTGCGCTCTTGCTTTGTAGGCTGCCAGTTTTCCTGTTGGAGCTTCGCTGTTGTTTCGCGATAAAGGCCGCATCACCGCCATCGTCGGAGCCGTCGCCATTGTCTAGAAGATCGCCGAAATCGAGGTCGGCAGGCTGCTGTTTATGAACTTGGACCTCATCGTCGCTGTCGGCGTGATTGGCGAACAAGGAGCCGGCGATGTCGACTTCGTTCTCGGACATGGCCGGGGAGGCCGCTCTTCTCTTCATGGTGGAGTGTTGGTACTGCACCCAAGGCGCAGTGCGAAGTTGGCAAAGACACTTCGAAGTTTGTTGATGGGGCAGAATACAGAGCTACGACCGGGCGTGGAGCGGGCTGCCAAACCCGTTGTAAATTTTCGGGATGCCCGCCAGCCAGCCCGCCAAATTTTAGCGGGGCCGGATCCCTGAGGGCTTATCGGGCCCCTTATCGTATCCGCCGGGTAGGTGCTTTGCATCTGCCGGCTTTCCCCCTGTAAACACATCAACGAGGCTTGGGCGACCTAGTGTACGAGAGGACATCGAGATAGCAACAGCCCTCGAATTACATTGATACCGCGATTGATTAAGATTACCGTGTCCACAAACGCATCAGAATGGCCACACAAGATGCAACAGACGACACCCCCGTCGACAGCCGAGACGCGCTGGAAGTGTTGGAATCAGAAGCTAAGGAGTGGGAGAAGGTACCCATTCTCACCACCCATTTGGTGCTTGGATACCCTCATCGATTTACTGACAATAAGGTGAACAGGATGCCGAGATTGACCGAATTTTGAAAGCGTTCAGGCTCGATGCGTAAGCCCGCCCCTTTACTCTGAGCAATCCGCCTCGACGACGGTCATCGCTGACGAACCCCCTCCTAGTTACGCCGTCCTCGGCCTCAAACCCGGTGTGCCCGAATCCGACATCAAAGTGACCTACCGCAAGAAATCGCTCCTGATCCACCCCGACAAGACCAAGAACCCCCTCGCGCCGGACGCCTTCGACCGGCTCAAAAAAGCCCAGACGGAGCTGATGGACGAGAAGCACCGGGCGGTACTGGACGAGGCGATCGCGGACGCGCGTATGCTGCTGATGCGGGAGAACAAATGGACGGTGGACAGCCCCGAGCTCAAGACGGCCGACTTCGAGCGCAAGTGGGCGGACAAGACCAAGTTCGTGCTAATCGAGAACGAGCATCGGCGCCGCCGCCAGATGAAGGCGCAGATGCAGGAGGAGGGCCGCGAGCAGCGCCGCCAGGACGAGGAGACGGAGCAGCGCCGCAAAAAGCGCCAGCACGAGGAGGACTGGGAGGCCACCCGTGACCAGCGCATCAGCAGCTGGCGCCAGTTTCAAAAAGGGGGCAAGTCGGGCGAGGAGGGGCCCGAAAAGAAGAAGAAGAAGAAGTTGAAGCCCATCGGTTGAAGCGTCTACCGCCGCTGTCTTCTTTATCTTCGTTGTATGGGAGTGAAGTGTTACAACTACGGCGGGAGGGAGGGAGCGCATGGAAAAACGGATGTTACGTGTGTGAGTTAATCTGGAGAGGAGAGAGCGCTTGATTTGACCCTGACCGATATATATAAGGTTTTCTTTCCGGCGCATTGTCCTCGAGTATCCAAGGCTCGATGGGTGCATTCTGATTTGACATGTGCGGTCACCAATATCAAACGGTCCGTCTTGCTGGTTCGCTTGTGATCATATGACATTTATTGACTTTAATTTCATTATAGCCATCAACGCCACTGATTGAGGCTCAGAGGTGAGTAAATGGTCTCTTGAGATCGGTGGCGTACCTCAACCTCACCTGCCCAACTACCCATCCAACCAGCCCCTGGAGGACGGGTGAGTCCCCGCATCACTTAGGCGCATGCTTCTTCTTGTACTGCACGAACCTCCCCAGGTTGAGCAACGCCTCGTCCGCCCGCGTTCTGAGCTCGGCCTGCGCCCTCTTGTCCACCCCCTTCACCAGCACCTTCATCCGGGGCACAAACTCCTCGAGGTGCTTCAGGAAGCCGTCCTTCCAGAACACCTCCTTGTCACACGGTGGCTGCTCGTCACCGTACAGGTCGAACAGCTGGTTCAGCGCCTCAACAATATCGGCCGGCGCCGCCGCGTCGCTGCCGAGGAGCGCCATGAGGAAGACGCCCACCTCTCGGTTGACCTCGATAGGGGCGGGATCTCGCGCCAGCGACCCGAGCACGCCGATACATTTGACGCCGAGACCCTGGAAGGGGTCTTCTTGCGCCTCGCTGCCGTCGTTTTGGCCGCCTTCGGGTTGTTGTTGTTGGGTTGGGCTCTTGGAAGCGGCGTGGTAGAGCGAGATGAACTTGCGGTGCTGGCTGCCGTCCGACGGCGTCTCGCCGTTCAGGGTACGCGCAACGGCCCAGGCGAGGCCGGTTACCTGCGTGGCTAGTTTCAGGTCGGCGCTGTCAGCGTCGAGAATGGGTGCTATCGCCTTGCGCCAGAGTTTTTTGGCTGTCGGGAACCAGGCGCCCAAGATGTGGGCGTTCTCGCCGTTGCCGAACTCCAGACAAGAGATAGTCCAGGCGATGTTATTGAGCGCGGAGAGAGAGTGGGATTGAATAGCGAGGGTCTCTTCGCTGTTGACGGGGATGTTGGTTAAGCGGATGAGTTGCGGGACGGCTCTTTGGATGAGCTCGCGGAGTGTTGGTAGATCGTTGATGTCGCCGGCCCCTGACCCCTCTTCACCTGCGACGCGGTCCATGTCGGCTTCCATGTCCGACGTGATCGAGTCGTCGTCACCGTCTTCTTCATCGTCCTCTCCTTCCCCCTCCTCTTGGTCGTCCTCTTCGACTCCGGCGTCCGATCCTTGGTCAACATCCATCGCATCGGCGTCGGCGTCAGCGTCGTCAAAACCATTCCACTCCTCGTTGGCCTTGGCAGGATCTAACGGTGCGCGGTTACCCTTTACGAGCGTCTCCTGGAAATCAGTCCCGATAGAGGCTAGTATTTCGAGGGTAATTTGTGTGATTTCGCCATGGCTCGAACTTCCGTTAGCAGGTGCACCGTTTGGTGTGACCTGCTCCAGTGCCCGCGCTAGACTGGGGACAAGGACAGCATCACATGCTCCGTCCTTGCCAGGGCTGTGATCCAGCCACTGTAATGACGAGAAAACATTGTGGAGGACACCGCAGGATAACACCGCCCTCGGCCCAGTTCCCGTGGTCGCCAGTTTTAGAAGGACATCGTAACACTGGGTTTCCTGATCGTTCGTCATAGCCTGGCCAAGTTCAAGACTGTCTTCTGATAACGTCGTGAGACATGAAACGGCCTCCTCAAACATCTCCTGGGGGGCGACGTCGGTGGAAGCTAAACGGAATAGGAGGCGCAGGATGATCTGGTTTTTGACAATGGCTTGGAGAATCTCTTCCCGGGCCAATGCTAAAAGACCGATAAGTGTGAGCAGAGAGCTGGTAATGTCCCATACTAGCCGTTGCTGGGCCTTCAGCAGTTTTGAGAACGGAGGCTCAGTTGCTGTGAGCGTTTCGAGGATCTGGTGGTCCCAAGTTAGCCCCTGAGATCCGGACTTGGAAGTAAACCGCACTTACCGCCTTGGCAGCATGTTCAATCGCTGACAGAACATCGAGCCTGTACAAATGCACGCAAAAGTCCGCCTCCTCCTCCTGGGCCAGCACCTTGAGAATCTCCCAACCAGCTGTCCGGCTATCGATGCTGTTGTCGGTGAGTGTCTCGGTGAGGACGATGTGGACGACCTGCTCCCGTAGAAGCAGCTTCCTGCATTTGGTATCTTGGACAATGTTGGCGATGGCGCCGGCAGCCGCTGTCCTGGACTTGGCTTGTGGGCTTTGCAAGTCTTTGAGCACCGGCAAGATCTTGCTCTCACGGAGCTTGGCGAGCTCTGGATCTGATGGTGGTTTCACAGGTTTTGCGATCGGGTCGCTACGGTTTCCCCGAGCTCTATTCCTGCGGGATTTGCCCATATTTGAATGTCGTGGTCGGATACCAGGTATTTCGGTAATTCTTTTTTCAGTAATTCTTCAAGTAGTTCTGGTTCTCCCGTCGCATACCAGTGGTAGATACTTTTTTTTTTTCATTCCGTTGCTGTCTCGATGAAAAAACTCAAAAAAATAAAAAGAAGCGATAAGGCTGCCCCTCATCTGCCCCCACCTTTCCCGCAGCCAAAAACCAACGTTGCAGGGGGTTGAATGCGGGACAGAGGCCCTGCCGCTGCCACTGGGACGGATCCCTGCAGGGTGGTTGGATCGGCAGTCACTGGCAGCAGATGGTCGCGAGACACGTTGATCTTAACCCCAAAGTTCGCAAAAGACGACTTGAGCTTCAACTCGTAACCCGGCACCCGGATCCCACGATCGCGTCACCCCGGCGCGCATAAACCGGAGACAAATGCGGACAACGCTTGCCGTCAGCATATTCCGATGACGACCGGCTAATCATTCCATCGACAAGGGAAGTGCCATTGGCGCATCAACGAGTTTTCGTTTTGTGTTTTTTTTTCTTTGGCCGAAGGGATCAAGAGGAAAGCGCAGCTTGGCAGCGTTGGGCGGGCGGCACAAAGATGGGAACCATGTTTCTCACCAACGAGGAACTGGGGAAAAAGGACGACGACCACAAGCCGGCCAAGCTTCCCTCGATCCGTCCGCGATGGAGCGCCGCCACGGGAGGAGCCCCGAGAAGCAAGTTCCTGAAACGGCTTGCGATGGCCTTTGCGCTGGGCATCTTCGTCTACCTGTTTATCAGTAACCTCCCCACCGACCTCCCGATTCGAGATCGACGCCACCCCGTATATAACAGCCGGCCCGAATCGGGGAAAGCTCATGCGCCGGGGACAGGACGGAGGCCGGGGGTGATGCCGAAGGTGCACGACCAGAAACCCCAGAGACAAACTTCTATATCGAACAACCCTCCGCCGAAGCCAGCGCCGCCCTCAGCACCATATACGGGACCTCTCATTTTCGTGAAGCTGTTGCCCTCGCTCCAGGCCATATATACCACCGGGGGCAACTCCAAAGTGAACAAAAACGTCCTATTTGCTGCCGCGAATCTGAAAAGCGCCGCACTTCTGTTGCCCATGGCATGTCGGATGGGGGACGAGTTGAGGAACTACGTACATTTTGCTCTCGTTGGTGGGAGCGGTATTGACATAGAAGACTTGCGTGCTGTTAATGGCATTGACGAGTCTTGCCAGGTCATATTCCATGGTATGCGCAACTCTTGTGACGCCACCCTACCAGGAAAAGTCGGGCGCTGACTTGATGCTAGATGCTCGCCCAGATTTCGCCGAAACGTCGACCCTTGAGCGTCTCAGACAAAGCTCAGTTCGTGCGCTCCGTAAGTAGGATAGCCAAGTGCCCCGCCGCCGGAGTCTAACATCTCTGTAGACCACATCAACACCTATATGCACCCGCAGGCCGTGGTCATTGATGCTTCCGGTTTGGAGGAAGATTATTTCTTGGCCGGCTTCAGGAAACAGGCCCCAGTTTCGGGCATACCCCTGATCGAGTTGCCTAAGAACGCGCACTCGCGACTGGCTTGGATGACGAAGCTAGATAGCTCATCGCTGGCAGGTAGGACAACGAGAAAACGAGTATATGAACTCTTGCTAACGTAAAGAACAGCTTGGGACAAAATCAGCATTGACATTCTAATTCATGCGCCATCAGCAAGTTCAGGGGGTCTTATCCATCTGCTCAAATCGTTATCGGGGGCCGACTTCTCGACGGGCTCGACGCCCCATTTGACCATTGAACTGCCGCATGACGTAGACCGCGGCACTGTTGAGTTTCTGAAGACGTTTCAGTGGCCACCAGGCCGCTCCCACTTGCCATCACATCCCCGTCAGCTCACCCTCAGGCACCGCATATCGCGCAGCAGGCTCACCGAGGAAGAAAGTTCGGTGCGCTTTCTCGAGTCGTTTTGGCCGAGCAACCCGAAATACTCGCATGTACTTGTCCTCTCGCCGCAGGCCCAACTGTCACCTCAGTTTTTTCACTGTGAGTGAGAACCAACCCTGTCAGGAATTCCACACCTGTTTTGCTGATTTCTTTTGGCTTGTTAGACCTGAAATATTCCGTGCTACATTACCTGTACTCTGGAGCCGCCCTTGCGCAGGAATGGGACTCGAGGTTACTCGGTATCAGCCTCAACCTGCCCCCCACTCACCTGGATGGCTCGAAGTCGTTTGCACCACCTCCAGAAAAGGGGGGGACCTCTTTCTTATGGCAAGCTCCAGACAGCAACGCGGCGCTGTTCACGGGACAAAAGTGGATCGAGCTGCACGCTCTTGCATCCCACCTAATCGATTACCAGCACAAAACCCAGCCGCCGCCCGCTTTCTTCGCCGACAAACTTGTCAGTAAGAGATACCCTTCGTGGCTGGAACACGCCCTGAAGCTCTCCCGTGCTCGCGGCTATTGGACGCTCTACCCCAGCGAGGCATCAGCGAGGAATTTGGCCATCCTCCACAGTGAACTCTACAGGGCCCCCGAGGAATACGGGAGAGAGCTTGAAAAGGAAGCGCCCAAGAGCGCCGAGCTACCCGCCCCCGGGAACACGCTGTTCGAGAGCCTTCCCGGAGGCGGGTTATTGCCGTTCGACGAGATGCCTCTTTTGCTTTGGGACGGGGCGGCCACAACGCTGTCCCGCTTGGATAAGGCCGCGGCGACTTACACGGATGAGTTTCGACGTGCGGTTGGGGGTTGTCAGGTGTTGACGCCCGAGGATCTCCTGGCGAAGAAGTCGATGAGGGACTTGTTCTGTATGAAGGATGACTGAATGAGTTGGCGTGCATTAGCCCACGAAGACGGTCCCCAGAGGCTGGGGCCATTGTACGGATTTTGTACCGAAGTACGGCTGTCACATTTGGACGATGTATATTGGTTTAGTCAAGCACTATTTTCATCTGCTGGGTGGATGCACAAAATAGTTACCCCAATATCAAGATGCGCCGAACGCCTCAATTACTGGCATGGATGATCTCATTCATCTGCGCGCTCATTCAGTTTGTTAATCACCAGAAGCGTCACACACGACCCGAAAATGCACATGGCTATTGCAGCCATCACCTACAAATTGTCAGTCAACGCGTGATACCTAGGTTACTAAACGGAAGCTCACTCACAGCCTGCGTCTTCCACCCACTCTGCACAATAGCCGCCCTCCGACTGTACTTATTGACCGTTTCTATAACAGTCTAACGTTAGGCCCCACCGATGATTTCCACCAAGTAAGAAAAAAAGAGAGCACGTACTCGTATAATTGGCGATCCCGACCCCCAAGCAGCTCACCGACAGCACCCAGAAGATGGCGCCCAGCGGCTTGGCCATGCGCAGCTCGACGTCGGATGCCGTCTTGCGCAGGTGGAAGGACAGTACGATGGCCACGGCCACGATGGACATGTACATGGAAAGGCGGAGGTACGAGAGGAAGGCTAGGGGGTGGTGTAGAAAGGTTAGGATAGGTTATATGAGATTCAACTAGAGGTTTTGAAATGGGATGGGAGTAAGATGGGGGAAAGTTTACTTCGTTCATTGGCGCAGTGATCGCGGCAGTCGCTCTGCTCGTTGTCGAAGAGGAGGGGTCCGAAAATGGGCGGGAAGCAGAAGGCGTTTTGGACGATGCCGTGGCTGGGAGGAATATGACAGGTTAAACATTTGATGGATATAGTAACGGGGATATCATGGGTATTATGGATATTATGCTATCTATGGTATGGCTTACTCATCTAGTTCCGACACATCGACGGGCCGGGCGAGGGAGGTTAACGGCCCGCAGCAGTCGCAGTATGATCGCGGACTCTCTTCTTCATCGAGAGGAGGCATCGTTGATGCTGGCATTGTGAGGAATAGAAGTCGGATGTCGGTTTAATAGTAATGCGATGAAATCAAGTAATAATTTGGAATGCAGCTTTGAGTTCTTATGTTTTCGAGTGCTTCATGTTCTTCTGCCTCTCATGACGCCGTCGCTCCTTCTTTGAGACGTTGTTGGTGACCGGCTGGAGACCCGCCTTATATTCAATAACCAACCAATCAAATATGTAACTAACATCGAGCCAACGAACTTTGGGATTCAGCCCACTTCTTAATGGCCCACACAGGCCCCTGCTGCCTGCGGGGCACGCGTTGAGTGCTTGCTTCTGCTTGCTGCCCAGTCGCGTCGTAACGCGTCTTCGGCCTGCAATCTTTAATCTTTCACCCCGCAGCCTACGACGACAACATCACCCGACTCCCGAGACGACCATCTGTCTGACCTATACCCACCAGAAATCAACTGAAAATCATGTGTATGCGACCCCAACAGGCCAATCTCAACCTCGAAAACTTGGCTGACCATTCGCAGCCTACCAACGAACAGGCTATAGCAGCCAAGGCGGTGATGATGGCGGCGGTTTCATGGCTGGGTCGCAGCAAGGAAGTCAGAGCGGCGGCAGTGGAAGAGTAAGCCCTCTTCTATCTTGCAATATTTTCAAGATATCTTTCTAGTTCTAACCATCCCGGGTGTCTCTCCCTAAACAGAACTACGCAGATGACACCCTCCGCCCAGTAACCATCAAGCAACTTGTCGACTGCAAGGAACCATACCCCGGCTCGGAGCTGGCCGTCGACGGCCTGCCGACCACGCAGGTGACGCTGGTGGGGCAGGTTCGGTCGTCGACCGTGCAGTCGATCTACACCACCTACCGCATCGACGACGGCACGGGGCTGATCGACGTCAAGAAGTTTGTCGACAGCGACCGGCCCGACACGGCCGTGACCTTCGCCCCGGACACGTACGTGCGCGTCTTCGGCCGCCTCATGAGCTACAACGGCAAGCGCACCGTCACCGCCCACAACATCCGCGCCATCGACGACTTCAACGAGGTCAACTACCACCTGCTCGAGGCCACCTACGTGCACCTGGCCCTGACCAAGGGGTCGGCCGCCGCCGGGCAGGCCGGCGCTGGTGGGACGGATGCGGACGGGGACAGCATGTTTGTGGACGGTGGGTATGGGGCCGGTGGTGGTGGTGCCGGGGGCGCGGCCGACGCGCGACTGGCGACGTGCTCGCCCGCGGCGCGGACCGTCTTCAACTTTATGGCGAACTCGCCCGGCGAGCACACCAACGTCGGTCAGGTGGTGGCCGGGACGAGGATGTCGGCGGCGGACGTCACGGCTGCGGCGGACGAGTTGTTGGCCGGTGGGATCATCTACACCACAGACGATGACGACACGTGGGCCATCTTCGATATGTGAGCGGCCGACCGTGGGAGGGTTCGGGCCGCCGGGAAAGGGTACTGGGAGGAAACGGGACCTAGAAGAGCGTTGCATCGTGAGGGATACCATGGCGCCGGCTTTTTGGCACATCTTGCTAGTTTTATCGGGTTTTTCTGTTCATGTTGAGGATACAGGTCCGCAGGGCTAAAGATTTGTTTTCCTCAGGACGTACGAGGTTAGACCCGGCCGAACGAGTGAGAGACTACGGCCAACTTGCTCCAAAAAAGATACAAAAGTCTTCGAACTGTATCCCCTCCGTAAGGGCAACCCCGGCACGGACGCCCGTCGTGGATGAGACAGTCCAAAGACAGTTAGATCCCTGCCGGGACCGAAAAAGCAATCATGTTGAATGCAGCACCCAAGTTAACTCGGTACGGGTCCAGTTGAATGGGACCAACCGCAAAGACAAGAAAACAACAGGCAAGAAACAAATCAAAAAAGCACTAACAAATCACCCAATCTCATCCTCCCTCACGCATTCTCATCCCCCTCACTCAATCAGCCCCCTCCTCAATCCCTTGGCAGCGCCAACAACAAACTTCTTCTTTCTTGCCTATCGGGCTCGAACTCGAACTCGAACTCGAACTTGAACTCGCGCTCGGGCTGGCGGCATAGGCCACCATGCGGGGCTCACGAACCATGATGGATAGGCGGACGGGGACGGGCCCGCGCTCGAGAAAGACGTCCTGCTTGACCTCGAAGCCGAACTTTTCGTAATAGGCGTTGTTGGCCTGCGAGCTCGACTCGAGATATATGGGTCGTTTTTCCGCATCGGCCTGTTCAGTGGCGGGGGGGGGTGGTGCCGCTCATCAGCAGGTCGGGACTCTTCTGGGGCTGTGGGGGGAGGAAGGTAGGGGAGGGGATGTGTGTGTGTGTGTGTGTGTGTGTGTGTGTGTGTGTGTGTGTGAGACGAACGAGAAGAGAAGGGTAGGGGGAAAACTCACCCCGCGCCATCATATCCCGCAAGCAGTTTCGGGAGCGTATCCGCGGCCCTGCGGAGTTGGGCTTGGTGCCGAGATAGGCCAGGAATCCAGGCGTCGTTTTCGCGGTCGGCCGAAGGACCTGGACTTTGGCGTCGTGCAGGCGGAGGCACGATCTCGTCGAAGTAGCGTTTCCTGCCCTCCGGCGAGAGCTGGAAGTACATCCGCCACATGCCGCTGCGAAGCTGCGTCCACCAGCTGTCAAGATGCTTGCCAGGCAGGCCCCTGGAAGGGGGGGAAGGGTTGGTTAGTTTGGGGGGTTGTGAGTAACCCAGTTGCTAACTCCTTGATGGCACCCAGAAAAAGAGAGAGAGCGAGGTAGGGATAGGAAAGACGTACCAAAGCGCGACGGCATCGCACTCGGCGCCCACAACTTTGACCAGCCCGCTCATACAATGCGATGCAACCGTGTAGGTCAAGATATCGACATGCAGCCGCCACTTGTCCTCCTCGGTAGTCAAGCCTCTACTCCCACCCACCACCACCACCAACACCACTCCCGTCTTCATCACTCGCCCTACTCCCCGCATCATATCCGCCATAGTCATCCGCCACCAAGTACTGCGCATAATCATCCGCAGCAAAGGCATGCGCCAGCGTGAGAGCAGCGTCACGACACTCGGCCATGTCGATGGTGCGCACGGAGCAGTCGGTCCAGCGGGCGGGGACCAAGGAGCGCTTGCCGGGAAGGCGGGCGGCGGCTACGGCCGCCTTCACCTTCGCCTTGGTGGGGATTGATGATGGCGAGAGGCATGGAGAAGATGAGGGGGAGGGGATACTCGAGCTGGAGCTGAGGGACTCGGAGCTGGAGCTGGACGTGAGACTCGAGCTGGAGTCGGAGTCGGAGCCCAGAGCCCGAGCCCGAACCCGAACCCGAGTTGGAGCTGGTAGAGGTACTTGAGCTTGTACTGCTTACGGACGGCGCCATGATGTAGTTGACGGCGCGGATAATGGGGCGGTGGTGGTGGTGGTGGTGGTGGTGGTGGTGGTGGTGTAATTATTACTTTTCACGGTTGATGGTCTACGGACGGACAGTCAGGGACGTTGATTCTCTTTATTGTTGAACTGTCTAGATCGGCAACATACTTTGGTTTATTTTCTGATATATTTTGGATACTGTCGCCCGTGTGGACTCTCGAAAGTTGCGTTCTCGAGATGGGCATGAATCTGGACGGGTGGCGCAGGCAGTTGAGGGCGGTTCGAATGTCAGCCGACATCAATGTGGTTCTTTTTCCGTAGATTCCCTCTGTGAGTGGGTAGTTGTGGTGAATTGGCTATGGATGTGAGAAGGGCGATGACCGTAGTCGAAGGAAGCCGGCGAGGAATGGATGGTATGAGGGAGAGAAAACTCTCGGTCTCGTCGCACTAACACGCAAACACGCACACAACACACACACACACGAGCACAGGCAGGCTGAATGGATGCTGCTGGTGTACGAGCGGGGCGGGGTGTAGACGGCCGGGTTGGTGGCAAGCAGGCAAAGGTGCCCTGTAGGAAGATTGCCCCCTGGATGGGGTGTGTGTAAGTGGCCTTCAACGCGATATGCTATTCTCAGCTGAGCTAGGAGGTGGTATCCAAAGACTGAAGGGACTGCACAGGACAGAGGGAGAATAGAGAGGGATAAGTAGGCAGGGAGGCAGGGAGCTTGGTGGACTAATAATTTCCGAGACATGTTGGACAGAATGAGACAGGCGTAACCGGGCCTGGGCGGGATGGAATGGGAATCGTGGCATCCTCAGCCGGCACAAAGAACAGCGGAAGTCCTCTCTGATTGCACTAGCACTTTACACGCACACATGCCAACCCGCGCCGTCTCGCCAATTGTCTAACAAGGAACCCCAATGTCTTGGTCAGGAAATCGGCCGACAGGGGTGCCGGGAACCACGGGGCGTTGACAGGCGGCGGTATCCATTGGCTTACACCGGGCCACCCGCAGGGGTCCGGGGGGGGGTCACAAGCAAGCAAGCGGCAGCAATCGGTCGGCCGCCTCCTCCGGTGGGGGTTGCCGAGTCCCGGGTTCCAGGGAATCCAACTCGGAAGAAGCAAGGGAAGACAAGCACGGCAGGCTTCGCCGTCGATATGCCGCTCCACATGCTCAACCAGCCGAGCGAGCCAACCATGCTCCCTTGGCTCACTTGGGGAACGACTGGTGATCCGATAGAGGTGGTCGGCGGTGTGGGGCGGACTGCTCGCCTTGCAAACACCACACGCTTGTCTTCTTCCAATCATGATCAGCGGTGGCTGGAACGCCCGATCAGATCCATTCAGCGATCGGCTCAGGAAACATGGCGCTATGCAAGGCGGTCAGGTGACGATATTGATGATATCCCTGGTGGTTTCAGAGCCATTCCCGAGTCCGGCGACAGTGGCGTCACAAAAAGGAAGCTGAGGCGGGCGGGGAGAGAACAGTTGGTGGCATGCTGCTGGTCTTCCATCAACCGCCTGTGTTGTTTCAGGTCGGCTTGTTTGTCACATCGCATGCTCCCGAAATACACAGTAGGGTATCGCCATGAGAAATTGCATGAACTCCAGGTCGTGTTATGTACTCCCCCTCCCTCCCCTCCCACCTGCAACCATGCCATGTCCAATGTATAGTCCTGCCGGCGCAATGCAAGGTGCTGAAAAAGGGGAAGCACCGGGGCTCTTCCTGCGCAGCCCTTCCTTACCTTGCTACCGCAAAATTGGAGCGGGATATCTTAGGGCTTAAAACCAAAAACGAAAACAGCCCGGCGCTGGCCCAACTCCTCAAAAACCTGCATCCCGGCGCAAAAAAACGGCTTGCAATAGGAGTGAGCACTGGCAGCCGCAACTTGACATCTTGGGCGATCACATCCGGCGGATCTCCTGCTCGTTCATGTACTTCTCGAGCCCGGAGTCGAGGTGCTTCCACCAGTCGAAGAGCAACGAGTTGCAGATGAGCTTGAACCAGGGAGTGAACTTGAGGGTCGGGTCCTCAAACATTGCCTTCAGACGGTCGGGTGAGACGTATTGGGTGGCCTGCACCTCATTCTCGCTGGGGTCGAGATCGACGTTGGCCTTGATGAAGAAGGATGTAATCGACTAGAGACACGTTGTTAGCATGCACGTTGTCCTGCGGGTGAGTGCGGGAAGCGCGGGATGGGCATGGGGGGCCTGCTCACTCTCATGCTCGCCCCATTTTCCGTCGCTGGGCGCCTTGTAGTGAATGCGGGTCAGGAAGCGGAAGTCTTCCAGCGGCACCTGCTCCTTCTTGATACCCAGCTCGTGATCCAATTTCCGCTGTGCGGCATTCTGGACGCCACGGACGGCATCCTCGAGGGTGGAGCCGGTCTCGTTGGACACGTTGAGGGGGTGCGAGCAGCAGGTGTTGGTCCCCATGTCCGGGAAGGTGATCTTTTCCGAGGCGCGCTGCTGCAGGAGCAGTTCGTTCTTATCGTTGAAAATGAAGACGGAGAAAGGCTCTGTGCAGGAGGCCCTTGTCGATGTTCGTCATAAGGTGGCCTACCAAGTCGCATCACTCGTCAGTACGGCATTCCCTCGTGCGTGCATTTATTTCCTAGTTTGCTGCAACCCACTCGCCCACTCATTCTCACCCCACCGCTCGGTTTCGGGGGTGGCATAACAGGAACACTTACAAAGCTTCTTGCTCGCAGTCCCGATTGGCAGGTCATTCTCGTCTAGGACGATGCAGACCTCGTCCATCAAACGAATCTGTTCCTCATCGTGGCCCTCGAGAGCTGCTCCACTGGTGTCGATGTCCGGGAAAAGGCGGAGGATCGAATCGGCCGTGATCGGCTCCGCGGTTGTTGTTGTTGTTGTTGTTGTGGTAGACATGGTGTCGGGTTATTGTGGAGGGCGAAATGGAGCTTCGTTGTTCGCTATTCGTTGTTTGTTGTTTTCTGAGTCTGGGGAACAGTGTCTGGGGTTCTCGGTGGATAATAGAGCGTGAACGGCCCTCACTTTAATACTGAAATATTTCCTATTTCCACTCCTCGGCGCGTGCTGCTGCCCGACAAAGCGCCGGCCGGCAGCAGACGGTGTGGCCCCCTGTCTTGTGTAACTCTTTCGGACGGAAACCCCACGTTGGTTGCCAAACTGTCGGGCTAGGCCCGGCTTCTCTCGCCCCTCGCGCTCGCGGGGTTCCTCAACAAGCCGCTGACTAAGCGCCGTGCACTGTGTAAGAGGCAGGTTCCTTCCAATTCCCATCACAAGAGACAAGAGTTTGCAGAGTTACAAGAAGCAAGAACGGCACCCAATCAGATGGATACAGTTGTAATAAGAGGCACAGTCACTTTTCAGCTTCTGGCAAAGACCACAGGCAGCCAACCAACCATTCAGCCACCAAACCCGCCCAGTAATCGGCTTCGGGGCATAAAATTATGTGCACCAGGCAGGAGCTGGTCATCATCAAGTTTATCATCCCATTCATTCATTTACCCCCCAATTTCTATGACTTTTGTTCGTTCCAAGTCATCCCACTATCCTGATGGGTATCCAACAAGTGCTACAACAGTTGCAAATGCGCGTATAATACCCAGTATATACATCCAGATCGGCTAGTATCCTACATATGATGTTATATCGCGCACCTAATCCCAAAAAAATAAATAAATGGGTATCCAGTTACCCCGAGGCATTCCTGCTCTCGGCTTCCCTAGCTGCCTGGTGCCAATCAACACGCCATGTAAACCAATACTCGGCCACCGAGACACTGTTGTGTGTTAGCAGGGTCGTACTCGGCGGCTGAAAATAGAACGAAGACTCACGTCAACAACCCAATCGTGACACCAATCCAGAGCCCGCTGAGTTTCCAGTCGAGGCCGAACCCCAGCCCGAACGAGATGGGCAACGCCACCAGGTAGTAGCAAACGAGGTTGGCATAGCCTCCAAACTCCTGGCGGCCAATGCCCCGCAACAATGCGTGAGAGACGGCCGCCATGCTGTCGAACAGCTGCATGATGGCACAAACGGGGAGCGTCCGGGCCACGAGCTCGATGACCTCCCTGTCATGTGTGAAGAGCAACGGTATGTGATACCTAAAAACCGACAAGAGGATTACGTTGAACAGCCCTACCAATGCGCCGCCCACAATAGTCTGTTGCCCCGGGAGTTAGTGAACGGGCATCGTCGAAAGCGGTAACTCCTGGTAAACTCACCACTTTGGCCGACGTCTTGGCCGCGTCAACCAGCTTGGCCCCAATGAGGTTAGCCAGCCGAGTCGAGCCAGCGATGGAGAGCGGGAAGGGGATTTGGAAAGTCGTGCTAGTCACCGTCACGAGCACACTCTGCGCCGCGAGGAATTCAACGCCCATCCTACCGGACGCGAGGGTCAAGATCTCAAAAGCGAACCACTCGGCCACGACCATGATCATACCAGGCAGGGCCAGCCGGATCATCGGGCCCCAGTTCTTCAACGCGCTCCTCCTGAACCCGCCCCACGCCTGGGAGCCGTCGACCTTCCACACATACAAGAAGAGCAGCATCGGCAGCATGTTCTGCGTGATAGCGACAGCCGTCGGGGCACCGACAAAGCCCCAGCCAAACTTCCACACAAACAACCAGTTCAGCAGCATGTTAGTCGGCGCCGCCACTAGCAGCACGTACGTAGTGGCATGGAACAAGCCCTGCGCCTGCACGAACCGCTTGCCACCCTCAAAAGCCGCATACGCCGGGGTGCCCAGCAGGGCAATGCGCAGGTAGCTCGCGGCCAGCGCGGCGCTGTCCTTTTCGATCATGGACGCTAGGATGGGCTCGGCGTGCAGCCAGACAAAAGCGACGGGAAGCAGTAATAGCAACAAGAAATAGGTCATGCGCTGCAGCTGCAGACCGACAAGATGCTTGTGGCCCGAGCCGAAGGCCTGCGCGCACAGCGTGTCCAGGCTGGTGGCGAGGCCCTGGACGGGCGCGTAGCACGTTATGTTGGCCGTCATGGTCGCCAGCGACACGGCGCCCAGCTCCAGCGTGCCCAGCCCGGCCGACCGCGAAGATGGACGTCACGTTGAGCGAGTACTGCAGCAGGAAGGTCACGATGAGCGAGCGGGAGTAGACGGCGATGGTTTTTGGCCTCGGCTGCCACGTCGTCTTAATCTGCCCCGGGTGCTACCGCGGGAGTACCATTGCTCGTTGAGGCTCTCCGCTCTACGCGGTCTTCTCCACCCCGCTTCGAC